ATTTACATCAAAATTTATACTGGACTCACGAGACATCTAGATTTACATAGACATCAAGACTCATAGACATATTGAAGGGCAATACTGTATATATGGCGAGGGAGAATCTTGCATTCGTAGTATATTTATTTAATTCTCATGAAGATCATCACGTACACCGCAATCTGAATTTTATATATTTTTTAAAATCGTAAAAATTCCACCTTTGTAGTTGCAACACAAAAGCACGTCGTGTGTTTCAATCAACTCCTAATGGTTCCTTTGATCATTGAATTCCCTTCATTTAACCGGGTCGCAAGTCACCACCAGCTCACGAGCACAAACACCTCGCAGTTGAGAGCACGTGCCAGGCGTCCGATCACCGACGGATTCTCCGCGGGGACAGCGCTGCACCTCCCAACATCCCCCGCTGCACCTCCCAACGTCGGTGAGTGTCGGTGAGTGTCGGTGAGTCCCGGTGAGCGTCGGTGAGTCCCGGTGAGTGCCGGTGAGTGTCGGTGAGTGTCGGTGAGTGTCGGTGAGCCCCAGGTGAGCGTCGGTGAGTGTCGGTGAGCGTCGGTGAGTGTCGGTGAGTGTCAGTGAGCCCCCGGTGAGCGCCGGCGAGTCCCGGCGAGTCCCGGTGAGTGCCATGCGCCGGCGAGTCCCGGTGAGTGCCGGTGACTTGTGGTGAGGTCCGGCGAGCGAGCGCGGCGTTCACATGGTGAGCACCATCTTGCCGAGCGTGGGGCTGCCGGAGACGATCTCGTCGTGGGCGCGCGCCGCCTCCTCCAGCGGGAGGCGAGTTCCCACCGCGGGACGCAGCCAGCCGCTCTCCACGCCGGCATGCAGCGCCGCGGCGCTCTCACGGCGCTCCTCCTGCAAGAGGGGGCGGAGCGGGTCGTTCTAGACAACGACTAAACTATACTGATGTAACGACTAAACTATGTTTTGTTTTACGAGCTGCCACGTGGCTCAACGGAGTGGCTTGTCCCGCAGCTCGCTCAGCGCGCTTGGCTACGTACGGTGGGAAGAAGTGCAGCGTACACACGTCCACACAGCCAAACACACTGAGCGCACGCGGCGACGTTGATTCTAAACGTGGATGGTTAAACTGGAGGACCCGGAGACAAATCTACGTAGTGACCACGGGGAGAAAGAGAGACGCGCAGACTCCAAATATACAGCAGCAGCAGGCGTCAGGGTCGGGATCGAGCCCAAGACCTGCGCACCAGACGAGGGAGTCAAAATCTCCTAGCCACCGTGATGATGATGAGAGAGAGAGACACACAAACTCCAAACATACAGCAGCAGGCGTTGTCAGAGGCCGAGATCGAGCCCACGACCTCCTGCGCACCAGGCGAGGTAGTGAACATCTCCTGGCCACCGTGGTGGTATCGTGGCGGGGGCGGTGGGGGGTGCGGTGGGGGGTGCGGTGGGGGGTGCGGTGGGAGGTGCGGTGGGGGGTGCGGTGGGGGGGGGCGGTGGGGGGTGCGGTGGGGGGTGCGGTGGGGGGGGCGGTGGGGGGGGGCGGTGGGGGGTGCGGTGGGGGGTGCGGTGGGGGGGGCGGGTGGGGGGGGGGGCGGTGGGGGGTGCGGTGGGGGGTGCGGTGGGGGGGGGCGGTGGGGGGGGCGGTGGGGGGTGCGGTGGGGGGGGGTGGTGGGGGGGCGGGGCGCTCACCGCGTTGCAGTTGAAGAGGCTGACTCCCATGACGTGCAGCTCACGCATCAGCGTCTCACGCGGATTCATCTCCACGGCGCCACGGCAACCGATGATCTGGGAGGGAGAGTTGGTGGTGGGTTGTGAGTGGTGGGTGGGTGACGGTGGGTGGGTGGTGAGTGGTTAGATGAGTGGTGGTGGGTGGGTGGTGAGTGGTAGGTGAGTGACGGTGGGTGGGTGGTGAGTGGTGAGGTTTGTGGTGGTGGGTGGGTGGTGAGTGGTTAGATGAGTGGTGGTGGGTGGGTGGTGAGTGGTGAGGTGAGTGGTGGTGGTTGGGTGGTGAGTGGTTAGGTTTGTGGTGGTGGTTGGGTGGTGAGTGGTTAGGTGTGTGGTGAGTGGTGGGTGGGTGAGTGGTGGGTGGTGGTGGGTGGGTGGTGAGTGGTGAGGTGTGTGGCGGTGGGTGGGTGGTGAGTGGAGAGTAGTGGGTGGTGAGTGGTGAGGTGTGTGGCGGTGGGTGAGTGGTGAGTGGTGTGTGGGTGGTGAGTGGTTGGTGGTGAGTGGGTGGTGAGTGGTGGGTGTGTGGCGGTGAGTGGGTGGTGAGTGGTGAGGTGTGTGGCAGTGTGTGGCGGTGGGTGGGTGGTGAGTGGTTGTGACGGTGGGTGGGTGGTGAGTGGGTGGTGAGTGGTGGGTGTGTGGCGGTGTCACTCTCCGTGCTCGAGTGTCTGCCAGAGGGAAGTCTCACCACCACGCGGCCGTTCTGCCCCAGCAGCTTGAGGTCGCTGGGAAGGTTGACGTTGGCCAGCATCTCAAAGACGACGTCCACGCCGCGCGGGTACAGCTCCTGACCGCCAACCGGCACACACCATCACGCTATTCACATTGTAGTCGACCGTCACCAAAGTTAATCTTCTTGGTTCTTTCGGTAAAGTCACGTAGAATGGAAATAATAAAATAATGAAAATAAAACATAATAAAATAATTCTCACGACGTTTCGGCCACAACGCAAGCAGCCGTCCTCAGGTGAAGAACAGATCTGTCGGGAAGACAGAGTCTGACTCTGTCTTCTCGACAGGCCTGTTCTCCACCTGAGGACGGCTGCTTGCGTTGTGGCCGAAACGTCGTGAGAATTATTTTATTATGTTTTATTTTTATTATTTTATTATTTCCATTCTACTTGACTTTACTGAAAGAACCAAGAAGATAAATCCCTGCAGTCACGAAAGCTTCAAATCAAAAAATCGTCACCAAAGTTGTTTCGCCAAAGTGACGTCGTGTGAACAGAACGCAGGTCGGTTGTTAATATCTGAAATTGTTATCTTCGGCACGTACCACTGCTACTTCTATTTTTATTTTACCGCACGTCTGTGAAAGAAAGAGCTTCATAGCTCATCGGATTCCTCCAGTAGGAAGAAATATTCTCATTCTAATTGTACCAGGTAAGTTCCTACTGAGCTATGGAGCGACCTGGCCATCACGAATGATGGCTCAACAAAGTGGCTTCTCATTAACCATCACGTGGAGAATATGTATAGCAGCAGCCAAATCATCTAAACGCGACCACGGGGAGTTTGCGAGATGTTGACTCCCTCGCCTGGTATGCAGGAGGTCGTGGCTTCGATCCCGACCCTGACGCCTGCTGCTGCTGTATATTTGGAGTTTGTGTGTCTCTCTCCCCGTGCTCGTGTGGATTATTCTCCGGGTCCTCCGGTTTTTCCCTCGACATCTAGAACCGACGTCACCGTGCGCTCAGAGTATTTGGCTGCTGCTATCAATTTCCACACGACGACGACGATGATGACGATGATGACGAGCCACTTGGTTGAGCGATCATTTGCCATGGCCAGGTCGCTTCTGAAAAACAGCTACACAGCTCACTGGCGTCAAGGGTGAAGGGTCGAACCCACGACCTCCTGCATACCAGACGAGGCAGTTAACACCTCGCCACCAATCGACGGCGTGACGGACCACTCGCCTGTATGCGGCCCACGTATCCATCCTCGCGGTGGTCGAAGGTGCTGTGGGCCCCGTGTTTGGCCACCAGCTCTAGTCCCTCGGGCGACCCGGCCGTGCCGATCACGTGCGTGCCCAGCGCGCGCGCCATCTGGCACAGCGCAATGCCGACCTGCGCTCGCACGCGGCGACGCATTTTCTTTTAACGTTCAAAGCCAGGACTACGACGTCGTAGATTGTGCGAGCGTGCGTGCGAGCGAGCGTGTGTGCGAGCGTACGAGCGTGTGTGCAAGCCTACGAGCGTGCGTGCGAGCGTGCGTGCGAGCGAGCGTGCGTGTGAGCGTGCGAGCGAGCGTGCGTGCGAGCGAGCGTGCGGCAAGGCTCACCCCGCCGCTCGCTCCGTGGATGAGCACCGTCTCCCCCGGTCTCGTCGCGGCCCTTCAACCCCACGGACACACAGAGACACGTCCCGTCGGGACATCACGGATCGTTGTTAAGCCACCATTTGTGATAGCCAGTTAACAATATAGCTCAGTGGGCCCTACCTGGTGAAATAAAAATAGTTCCTAGTTTAGTCTGCAGGAGGTTGTGGGTTTGATCCTAACCTTGGGGACACCTGCTGTATATTTGGAGTTTGGGTCTCTCTCTCTCTCTCCTTGGCCACGTGGGTCATCCGTTATTCCCCACAACATTTAGAATCAACGTCATGCGTTTAGAGTATTTCGCTGCCACTATGAATTTCCACACGGTGACGACGACGACGACGATGATGATAAGCCACTTACCGTCATCATAAACTAACTACACACTCCCAGTGGGGCCTTACCCAGAAAAAGAAAAAAAAATTGCTTAAAAGTTTAAGGCAACTGGAGTGACATCACCGCTGTTGATGCCCATGATCAGACGTCCAGCGATGTTTAGTTTAATTAAAGTTTTAGAAACTGGGGCCCACTGTAAAATCTCCCCCCCACCCCCCCCCGGCTCTCTTCGTAGCTCAGGTTCCCCCGGAAGCCCCCGGACCTCGGTGCAGTCGCACCGCCTGCGCTCCCGATGCCCGCGTCGCCGCGGAGCCGAACGCCGGGCGCGTTTACTTTTGCACGAGGGCGCGGTAAGCGGTGAAGTACGGCACGCCCAGCGCGGCGCCCTGCGGGAAGTCCAGCTGGGCCGGCAGCGTGAAGACGCGGTCGTGAGCCACGCACACAAACTCGGCGTAGCCGCCCTCCGCCAGCGCCGTGTATACGCGGTCGCCCGCCTGCTCGCAACACCGAAGGTAAAGGTCCCCCCGTGAAGCCTTCAAGACAGACTGCGTGTGAGCACGAATAGAGGCGGCTAAACGGGCACGGCGTGATCTAGGGGAAGAGATGAAGTGATGTGGTACAGGAGGACGTGGAGCCGAGTGGACTTGCCGATGACCGGTACCAGCGGTGTCAAGATCGGCCTCTGCGGAGGAGGCTCGTGAAGGACGCTGCTACTGGGCAATTGGAGGCAGTCGCCCTCCAACAACAACGGAGGGCGGAGGAGCGACGCTCACAACAACGAGCGGAGCGCCGGGTGGCTAAAACACGGCAAGTTGACACAGTAGTGGGCACAGGTGGTGCATCGGGTAGTCATCTCAGTCAACCAATGGCACCACCTTGATCTATCCCGTGACCTCCTGCCAGTGGGCATTCGACACTTCACATGGCCTTAACGTGCACCTAGCCTGGCACAAGCGCCGTGGTGACATCACCGCAATTTAGTGGCGCATGGCGGTTGTTTGTTGAACTTCTTTCGCACCATACGTAGCCAACCGTGCTCATCGGAGGTGCGGGGGGAGGACAACAATCTAAACACAAAAAGCAGCTCTAGAGGATCGAGTTGTCACTCTAGACGGTGGAACACAAAGACAAAGATCCCCCGCGCGGCCTTCAACAATTACCAAGACGGACTAAACCCGCGGTGGTTAGGAGATGTTAACTCCCTCACCTGGTATACAGGAGGTCGTGGGTTTGATCAAGACCCTGACGCCTGCTGTATATTTGGAGTTTGAGTGTCTCCCTCCCCGCGGTTGCGTGGATTTTTTTCCGGGTCCTCTGGTTTTTCCCTCCACGTATAATCAACGTCACGCGTTTAGAATATTTGTTTGGCTGCTCTACATTTCCACACGATGGTGATGATGGTGATGATAATCCACTTCGTTGAACTATCATTTGCGATAGGTACGTCGCTTCTGAAAAAGATCCACATATCTCAGTGGGGCCTTACCTGGTAAAATAACAAGTTTAGTATTTAGTTTAACCCGGTGATATACAAGTGCTATGCACTGGCGCCATCTGTTGGTGGAGGTTACGATTGTTTCAAATACTAATTCTTCGTCGGGGAATTTTATTTGCCATCAGCCATCACGAAAATTGTTGCGTGCCAATGATGAGAGTGTTTGTTGAGATTTAAATTAAACTACTGCTATCACAAATGATAGCTCATTAAGTGGCTTATCATCGTCATCACGTACACATTTACATAGCAGCAGCCAAATACTCTAAACGCGTGGAGACGTTGATTCTAAACGTGAAATGGAGGACCCGGAGAAAGAACCACGCCACCACGGGGAGGGATAGAGAGACACGCAAAGTGCAAATATACAGCAGGTGTCAGGGTTGGGATCGAACCCACCACCTCCTGTATATCAGGCGAGGGAGTTGACATCTCTCCTGGCCAAACTGCGGCACCCCAATGTGCCACAAGGTCCACAGCAGAACAGAATCTCTCTCCTACAACCCAGGCCGTGGATCGCCGCTGATCTAACCCGCACACACAACAACAACCAGTTTAACACGTAGTAATAGTAGTAGCAGGGCTTTCGCGACACCAATATTATCCATAAGTTTTTTTTGGGTTAGAGCGTATAAAATATAATAATGGCTTTAAACCCGTAACCACCCAACACAGCCAATCGGCAAGGTTTGTCACGTAAACAATGCCTGCCAATAAGTTACTAGTTCGGCACTAGCCGGTGCGTGGTTTGGAGAGTAAACCCACTACAACATTCACAACATGGACGGGTTTAACGACACGTCCATAATCACTCGATCTAACCCAAAACAGAACCTCTATTGTGGAAAACAAAACTACAAAGTCCACACCCCCCCCCCCCACCCCGGTCACGTGGCCCCCACCTTGAAGGAGGAGATGGAGCGGCCCACCGACTCCACCGTGCCGGCAACGTCGCCCCCCGGTGTCCAGGGCAGCTCGGGCCTGCGCGTGTGCGTGCCCGTGCGTATGTACGTGTCCACGGGGTTGACGCCGCACGCACGCACGCGGATCAGCACCTGCACGCGTTGGTGACGGGGTGGGGCGGGGGTCATGGTGATGGAAGGTGGGGGGTTTATAACTCGTTCGCTCACTCGTCTAGCTGTCCACACACTCACTCACCCAGTTGCTCACTCACTAAGTCATTCACCAATTCACTCAAGAACTCACCCAGTCACTCACTCACCCATTCACCCACCCAACCACTCACTGACCCAGTCACTCACCCACTCACCCACCCACTCACCGACCCACACATTCACCTACCCAACCACTCACTCACTTACCAGCTTACCCACCCACTCAGCCACCCACTCACCCACCCACTTAAAATGTATTATTAGAGGCAGTGCAAAGTTCAGGACCGTATGAGTCCATGCGTGGAGGAGAGAGAAAAGAGAGGAGAGGGACAGGAGAGAGAGAGGAGAGAGAGGGATGAGAGACGAGAGAGAGGAGAGGGAGAGAGTGAGAGAGGGAGGAGAGAGATGGAGACAGAGAAAAGAGAGGAGGGGGAGAAGAGACGAGAGAGAAAAGAGGAGAGAGAGACGAGAGAGAGGCACTTGAGGCTCGGGCAAGTTAAGACTAATCGATCATGGACCAGGCGATGACATTCGTGGAGCCAGGCAGGCAGTTCGCCAAGGATTCCATCCGGCTCGTGAAACGCTGCACAAAGCAGTTTCAGAAGATCGCAATAGCGACGGCAATTGGCTTTGCCATAATGGGCTTCATCGGCTTCTTCGTGAAACTCATCCAAATTCCCATCAACGACATCATTATTGGCAGTTCAGATCAACAGGAGTTCTACTTTAAAAGAGATGCTGTCACTTCTGGAGTTAACTTTATATCGTCAACAGTGAAATGCCATAATGTTGCAAAATGTGTCCAATGTTTTACCAGCCGTTTTTGACATTCAGTTTTGTCTTGACTCATGAATAAAGCCCATGTGAGTGTTGTAAAAAAACGAGAGGGAGGAGAGAGGGGGAGGAGAGAAAGAGGGAGAGGAGAGAGGGAGGAGATAAAAGAGAGGAGGGGGAGGAGAGACGAGAGAGAAAAGAGGAGAGAGAGGAGAGAGCCGAGAGATAAAAGAGAGACCTCTTTGTCGTTGGGCGAAGGAACGGGAACGTCCGTCTGCAGGCGCAGCACGGAGGACGGCCCGAACTCCCGCATGCGGATGGCCCGCATCACTCGCACGGCCTGCTGCATCTGACACGCACACGGAGCCCGCGGCGGTTGACGCGACGTAGAGGACCGTGCCACCCGACTAACACGGTCGGCTACGTACGGCTTGCGCTGCAAGAAGATCGACGGACGTACGTAGGTGCAGCCGCACGCCGCGTTACGCGAAGGCAATATCGGTCGTGAGCGGGGAATCGAACTCGGTTCGCCAGGGTTCGTGGGGCGGCGCCGCTAACCGTTGCGCCACCGCTCCCCCGCTAAATGGACACGTGACGCACACGCACCCAAAGTGAAGTGGGCGGCGTGGCCGGCGCCTGGCTACATCCAGTCACTACCAGCAGCAGCACCACGTGTCTGAGCAAAAGGTCAAGAGGTTAACCATGGCCAGAGTCACCGATGCCGCCAAGAGATGCCGCAATGATTGCGACAGATGACACATCGACCTCTCAAAGCTCTCCTAGAGCCTCACCACCACCACCATCTCGTCACAGACCTCTGGAAGCCAACCAAATGCCGTTCTCCACCCTGCTCACGTGCGCCACCCATCACCACCTCCTCACCCTGCACGCCACGTGTCCCAGTTACGACGATGATGAGCCAACAATGTCTGTGTGTCCCACGCGTGACGTCACTCCACGTCGACCAGCCCCCCCCCCCTCATTTTTACTCATGAACAGGTGACGTCCTCCCTCATTAATAATCATGAGCGGGTGACGTCACTCCACATGTAGCACCCCCTCCCTCGTTAAATATCGTGACGTCACTCCACATCGAACAGCCCCCCGCATTAATAATCATGACGAGGTGACGTCTTACAAATGGACACCCCCCGCCGCCATTAATATTAATTAGCGGGTGACGTCACTCCACATGGGGGGGGGGGCGAGGCGCCTCCTCCCCCCTCCTCGGCGTCAACTCACAACCCTCACTCACAAGGCAGAGCCCTCACGTCATCACGTGGTCTCCGTGACGCTGTTGAGACATCGAAGTAAAAAGGACGTCACAATGAACAAGGGATTATCACCTTCACATGAAACAAGTCTGTGTCACCGCGCCCTTACTAATTGCACAGGAATTGATGCAATGAATATCAAGTTTAGGATTTACTCCAATGCACCCGAGCTTGGACGGGCAAAAGTCTAGTGAAGTATATTCACGACGCATGTTTTGTTTATTAACACGACAAAAAACCCTGCACCACGACTGCGTTTCAGCTCCCGCGGCGGGAGACGGACTCGAAGTCTGGCGCCTGTGGGACAACTCAGAGTCTCAGAGTCGTCTGCTGGAGTTTGCTGGAAGTCAAATCCCTCTCGGCAGTGATCTGTCGCGTGCGCGTGTCAAGGTGAATCGTTGCACGTGTGCGCCACACCGCGTGCTTGACACGTGGTGCGTGTACAGGTGGACACGTGGTGCGCGTGCATCCCAGTGCGCATGCGTCACCTCACAGCTGCGTCAGAGGGACAATGATTCGGGTCGTGGTGGGGTTACATTTGACCATACTTCACCACGCCGGTGAGCGGAAGCAATCAATTGGCGTGGTGCCGTAGAAGTGCAGTACAACAATGGGCGTTGTGCTCCAATGGCCGCCTGATGTCCACTGCCCCGCAGCAGCAAGCCTATAGCACCTGTTATGCACGGACCCGGTGGTGTCGCTACAAACCTGGTCACCCGAGTTCGATTCCCGCTCACGGCCAACACCGGTGACAGCGATTATCTGAACAGATCTGAGGCCTCCCCTAGGTCGACTCAGCCTCAAATGAGTACCTGGTGTAGCGGTGTGTAGTCAACATCGCCAGCACTGGGGGGGGGGGGGAGAGACAAAGGCGGCCCGGTCGTGGTGCCGGCCTTCAGAGGCCCTCCTCGCTAACAGCACTTGCCCCTGCAGTCTGCTGAGGCTACCCGGGGGATCTTTGTCTTTGGTTACCCGTCCAAGCAGCTTCCCAGTCCCACGAGACTTCTGCAGATTTCACTTCGAGATCGGAATCGCGAAGAGGCTTGTTAATGTGCTCGATGTTTAACAATAATTAATATTTAATTTGCTTTTAGAGGCACTGACCTGCAATTGTTATGGGAGGCCTTCACCCAGCAGTGGACAGAGACCACGGCTGCCCTGATGGTGGATAACCGTGCACCTTGTGGAATAATGTTTTTTAAACAAATGTACGACGAAAACGAAGCGTATTGTGTGTTAGACAAACGCGTGCGACAATACCCACGTGCCCTACTGTACAGCGGCACTGCAGCGCGCTCGAGTTTGACGCGGATCGTGACAGCGCCCAGAGGCGTCAATGCGTCGATGCTGCTGCGCGCTGCGTGGCGAGAGAGAGTTTGTCGCTGAGAAGGATCGTGGCCATGGTTGCCAATGGCGAGCTGCTGAAGGTGAAACACTAAAGACGGTGGTGGTGTTGGTGTTGTTGGTGTTGGTGTTGTTGGTGTTAGTGGTGGTGGTGTTGTTGGTGTTGTTGGTGTTAGTGGTGGTGGTGTTGTTGGTGGTGTTGGTGTTGTTGGTGTTGGCGGTGTTGGTGGTAGTGGTGTTGGTGGTGTTGTTGGTGGTGGTGTTGTTGGTAGTGGTGGTGTTGGTAGTGGTGTTGGTGGTGTTGTTGGTGGTGGTGTTGTTGGTAGTGGTGGTGTTGGTGGTGTTGTTGTTGGTGGTGTTGTTGTTGGTGGTGTTGTTGTTGGTGGTGTTGTTGTTGGTGGTGTTGTTGTTGGTGGTGTAGTTGTTGGTGGTGTGGTTGTTGGTGGTGTTCGTGTGGTTCGACGTTACCTCGGACACGTCGTGGTGCCTCCTGCGAGGGCAGCAGCGGTCGTGATCGGAAATGGAGCAAGGTGAGAGCGCCCCCCCACCCCCCTTGCCAGATACGGGAGGGAAAACCTCCAGATTCATGCAAAATTCTTCCCAAGCCGGACTGGTCAACCATTAAAAACAAAATGTGTAACCAGGTAAGGTTATGAAGCTTTTTTTTTTTTAAAGCGACCTTGCTACCACAAATTAGAGGGTGAGTGTGTATGTGCATTGGTGAGTGAGTGGGTGAGTGAGAGGGTGAGTTGGTGAGTAGGTGGGTGTGAGTGGGTGAGGGTGAGTTGGTGAGTAGGTGGGTGTCAGTGGGTGAGTGAGAGGGTGAGTGTGTTATGCATTGGTGAGTGAGTGGGTGAAAGGGTGAGTAGGTGACTTGGTGAGTGGGTGAAAGGGTAAGTAGGTAAGTGGATGAGTGAGAGGGTGAGTGTGTTATGCATTGGTGAGTGAAAGGGTGAGTAGGTGAAAGGGTAAGTAGGTAAGTGGATGAGAGGGTGTGTAGGTGAATTGGTGCGTGAGAGGGCGAGTTGGTGGGTGAGTGAGAGGGTGAGTTGGTGAGTAGGCTCCAGCCCCCCACCGCCCGCTTTGTCTTCCTCATGCAATGATGCCGCATTACTTTTCAGCCCCCCAGCTTTCTGTTTGCCCCCCCCCCCAACTATGACCAGACCCTCCTTATCAATCATTCTTGTTTTACTGCATCAAAACTACACTACCACTTACAATAACCCATATCTTAATTTTAAATTATCATGCTCTGTACAATTGTATAATTGCTGTTAGTGCCTTGGTAATGGTGCTTTATAAATCTAATTAAGATGAGAAGAGATAAGTGTTCAGCCTTGCCGGCACTTTTATTCAAACCGCAACAATGGATAGCTTGTGCCCCCTGTGTGCCTACAGAGCGGTGTTCTTCATTGCCTTTAGTGCCGCCCCCTGACATGCAGCCCCCATCACAACACCGCATGTGAAAACACCCCCCATCATCGTGCTGTCAAAGCCCCAATGGTTTCATGTGTGTCGACCCTCACACTGATGATGTCTTATCGGTGAAAGTGGCCCCCCCTCTGAAAAATATAGAAAATCACTGCCATGACCAGTTGGGCCAGACATAAAAAATGTAACCAAAGCTGAAGAGAGAGGAGCAAGTGGATGAGAGGTTACACGCAAGTTCACCTCTTTCCTGTCTACAACGTCTGAAAGTTGCAAGGTGGTGGGTGTCCCCGTTCACCGTGGAATCTCGCAACGCGCAAGTGGCTCGGCGTTCAGTTTATGTAGAGAGGCACAGCAGTCGCGCCGTCGTTTTTAAAGACGTTGCTACTCACCGCAGAGAACCGTCGTGACACGACCGCCGAAACTCTACAATAGCTGGCACCAAACTGTGCCACGCCCTCCCGCGTGGCCTTGTGGGAGCCTCAGCACCGATAAAGTTATTGTTTCTAGATTTGAAGCTTTCGTGACTGCAAGGATTCATACTCTTTGTTTTTTCTGGTAAAGTCACGTAGGTAAAAAAATAAAATAAATGAAAACAACTAAATTAAATCACGACGTTTCGGAGGCAACACAAGCTTCCGTCTTCAGGTGGAACCGTTACAGCCAAAAGCACTGTATTAAGTTATGATGACGTATATGAAAAACAACTTAAAATATAATACATGTATGTCATCGGAACGGAAAAGGGTTGATGACATCCAAACCATTAACGCAAAGCGAGTGGGGCTCAGGCAGGATGCGTCACGGCTAGAAGGGACGAAGATGATAGCCAATGGTCAAGAGTAAAAACGGAGTGGCAGCCAAGGAATGGAACGTGTCCGAGAAGACGGCTACCGTGGAGATGAAGCGATGAAATCGGCTCTTGTGCAGGTGGTGGGTGGATTGTTACGTCGCAGAATCATGGCTGCTGCTGCTGCTGCCGATGATGACGACGACGATAATGATGATGACCACAGGGGTCGTTGGTAACTACAAACGATAACCGTTGACTCCCCACGGGGACTGCAGAGCTCGGACGATTGTAGGTGCCGGCTCATCGTGCTGCTGCCTTCCCGCTCATCTGTGGTTCCTCCACGCACCTTGGAGGTGTCCCCTCTGTTCGAGAGCGAGTTCACTATGTTTTTATTATACCAGGTAAGGCCCCACACTGAACTGTACTATCTGTGATAGCCAGTGACCTGGCTATCACAGATAGCTAGAGCGAAGTGGCTTATGTGGAAATCTATAACAGCAGCCAGATACTCTGAAAACGTGATGTTGACTACCCTGCCTGGTATGCAGGAGGTCGTGGGTTTGATCACGACCCTGATTCCTTTATATTTTGAGTTTGCATGTCCATCTCCCTGTGGTCGTGTGGATTTTTTTCCGGGTCCTCCGTTTTTTTCCCTCTGCGTTCAGAATCAATGTCACGCGTTCAGAGTATTTTGCTGCTGTAAATTTCGAGATGATGAGCCACCACTTGGTTGAGCTATCATTTGTGATAGCCAGGTCACTTCTGAGCTACATAGCTCAGTGGACCCTTACCTGGTAAAAAACAAAATAGTTAAATTAGTTAAGGTTACCACAAGCAAATATATATTAAAAACACACCGTGTGTGTGTATGTGTGGCTTTAATTGTTGTTGAGGACAATGAGCCAGCCGGGGCAAACCACCCCACCGGGGGAATCGGAACCGGCGCCGCACGAGCGTCGGCCACTAGCAGTAGGAGAGGACCCTGGTGGAGGCAAGCAGCTGGCGCAGGGTGGACGTCAGCGCCGGCGCGGCCGTGGCGGCGGCTCGCATTTCCGCGGGAGTGGAGTCGCGCGCGGCCAGCAGCGCGTGGCACAGCGTCGAGTGAAGCTCGGCGCCATCGGGAAGCTCGTCGGTGAAGGCTGGAGCCGACTCGGACATCCGCAGCCGGCACGACCGCTCGGCCGTCACCAGCAGCAGGCCCCAGGCGTCGCCGCCGGCGGCCTCCTCGCCCTCGCGCACCTGCAGCCCAAAACAAACCAGAAAATGCGATAAAAATTATATGTTATAAATAATTCTCGTGAAAACCTACAACTATTAAACGAAAAACTACTTTTTATTTTATCAGCTAAGGCCCCCTGAGCGGTGTACCTCTTTTTCAGAAGTGACCTGGCTGTCACGAATGAGAGCTGAACGAAGTGGCTCATCATCATCACCGTGTGGAAATGTATAGCAGGAACCAAATACTGTAAACGCATGATGTTGATTCTAAATGTGGAGGGGAAAAACCGGAGGACCTGGAGAAAAATCCACGCAACCCCGGGGAGAGAGAGACACGCGAACTGCAAATATACAGCAGGCGTCATCAGGGCCGGAATCGAACCCACGACCTCCATATCAGGCGAGGTAGTTAACCCTCTTTCCCATTCCGATGACGTATGTGTACATCAAAACGAAATCAGAAGTAAAAAAAAACCTATCAGGACCAAGGCTCCCACAAGGCCGTGCGTGAGGCGTGTCACAGTTTGGCAGCAGCAGCTATCGTAGAGTGCGGGCGTATCGCTGGAGTTCTCCGCGGTGAGTACAATGTCTTAAAAAACAACGGCGATATTACGCCGCTCTAAATACATTTAACAACGAGCCGCTTGCGAGTTCCGGGATTCGGCGGTGAACGGGACACCCTCACCCTGCGACTCGCAGAAGACGTCTCGGATCGGGAAAGGGTTAAAAAACGTCTCCTAGCCACCGTGGATGTGTGCAGTGCACGTGTCACCTGCATGACGAGCTGGTGAGCACCCCTGGTCGCATTCCATCGACTCCAGGAGAAGGAGAAGTTTGACACCAGCAGGGCCATCTGCTCGTAGGCCCTGCTCTCTGCCTGCGCGTCCTGGTGGTGTTAGAATCAGAATCATAATATAGGTTTTTGGGTCAGATCACGTTATTTATAAATGTGTCGTAACCCTCCACCACCTGACACGGCCAAAGAGTAAAAAATGTGTCACGTTTTTCAAAGGACAAAATAATTCACTTCTTTAGCCCACCGGTGTGCTGAAGAGAGAATCAACAGCATTTTGAAATTTGACTACGACGTTTCGCTGATAATTACAATCAGCTTCATCGGGCAAGAATGGTGAAGCTCTCCTGTTGCTTCCGGTCTTAAATAGAGCAGCATCAGGGTGACGTCATCATTTAATTCAATTCATACTGGCGGAATCCGATGAGCTATAAAGCTCTTTTTCACAGAGGTCTAGAAGAAGGGGCACGGGGTAAGAACGTTACAACAACAGTACAAAAACACGATAAGAGTGCAAAGTACAGGAAAGTTAAGCAAATCACCCAAACACAAACATACTAAACCACTCCCATCCGACCAGGTGAAGCCCACTGAGGTATTAACTTATTTGTCAAAAGCGGCGTTCACGCCCCTAATCCTCCACCCACACTGATCTAAGCAAGCTGGCTGCGTGCCAGATGTCACGGTCCAATTTTTTCCAAGTTAAAAAAAAACACTAAACTATCAGCTATTTTTTTATTTTACCGGGTAAGGCCCACTGAGTTACGTAGTAGCGACCTGGCCACCAAAAATGATAGCTCAATGAAGTGGCTTATCACCATGTGGAAATTTATACCAGCCAATTACTCAAAACACACATTGATTCTAATTGTGGAGGGAAAAACCGGAGGATCCAGAGAAACATACACACGACCACGGGGAGAACATGCAAACTCCAAATATATTGGCGTCAGAGTCGGGATGAAACCCACTACCCCTGTATGCCAGCTGAGGTGGTTCACATCTCGCCACCGTGGTACCCATTTATGTGTATGTATGTTGAACTATTTCGCAACGTAGTCAACCCTGCTAATTGGAGGTGTGGGGGAAGGACAGCAAACTAAGCACAAAAAGCAGTCCTAAAGAAATGCAGTTTTCAATCTAGACTTAAAAGTACAAAGCTCCCGGTGGCTTTCTAATATAGGAAGGAAGAGCGTTCCAGACGGCCACAGAAGCGCCTCTGAAAGAGTGCGATGCGGCGACCATCGTTCAATGGCTCGCCAAAAGCCGCTGCTGCTGCTGCTGCTGCGAGGATAACCGGAGTTCGCGTGATGATGGTTTAACGCTCCTTGACGAGCTCAAGCAGCGAGGTATAGCGGTCAATTTGTGGCGAGCGCTTTGTTGTTGTTGTTGTGTGTGACGAGCCGCGCCCGTGCGCACCTTTACGTTGACGGCCACGTATTTGTCCGAGTGCGCTCCGGGGAAGACGTTGAGGCCGTGTCGTCGCAGGGTGTCGCGCAGCCTGGCAGGACTCATCCACACGCCGCGCAGAGACGACAGGGTCTTGCTCTCGCCCCCCTCCTCCGGCAGCTCGCACAGACGGCATTCGCCCGGCTGATACCACAACAGACAAAGATCCATCCCCGTGTAGTCTTTAACGGACTGTTGTGGTTGATCGTGCTGCTAAAACTAAACAAAAATTTGTTATATTAAACTAAACAATTTTTATATTACCAAATAAGGCCCACTGAGCTGTGTAGCTCTTTTTCAGAAGCCACCTGGCCACACAAATGATAGCAGCTCAACGAAGTGGCTTATCATCAAGTGAAGATTTCTAGCAGCCAAATACTCTAAACACGTGATATGGATTCTAAATGTGGAGGGAAAAACCGGAGGATCTGTATAAAAATCCACGAGACCACAGGGAGAGAGAGAGAGAGACACAAATGTACAGGAATCAGGGTCGTGATTGAACCCACGACATCCCGCATACCAGGCGAGGTAGTGAACATCTCCTAGCCACCGTGGCACTACGAGGGTTGTCTGTCCCCCGGCCCATCTCTGTCACTTGTGAATCCAACCCCGATCTGCTAGAATAGCAAACTCCAAATATACAACAGATATCGTCATGGTCGCGATCGAATCCATGATCTGCTGCACACCAGACGAGGGCGATAACATCTCCTAGCCAGCCCCCCGCGGCATCCCCTAAAAAAAAAAACACACCGCCGACGAACGTTGCCGCTCAGCGATTTTGCCCAGCAGCGACGAACCCGAATCTCGAACTCGACGTCGACGAAGGCGGCCATGACGGTGAACAAGACGCGCTGGGGCCCCTTTGAGCGAAGCTCCCAGCCGTGGTAGGGCATGTTCACGTGGGCGTCCGCCAGGAGGCACACGGGCCCCGCTGTCGCCAGCCGGAAGGCCACCTTCCTGGTGGCCTCGTCGTACGTCACGTCGCTCACGTCGTCCGTCCGCCAGCGCTGTCCTGTGGCGGCGGAGAAGGTGGATGTGAGGTGGGGGGGGAAGCGCTGCGGCTGACGAGATGTTAACTACCTCGCCTGGTATGCTGGTGGTCGTGGGTTCGATCCCGACACTGATGCCTGCTGCTGTATATTTGGAGTTTGCGTCTTTCTCTCCCTGTGGTCGTGCGGATTTTTCTCCGGGCCCTCCGGTTTTTCCCACCACATTTAGAATCAACGTCACGTCTTCGTCGAGCTATGTGGCCAAGTCGCTTCTAAAATAACTATATCGCTCAGTGGGCCTTACCTGGTAAAATAACACAAAGTATAGTTTTAGTATTTATATTTATTTTGAAATTACCGAAGTGGGTAAAGCCGCGTGGCAACATCGCCCGCTGCTGTGAAACTCCTGCCGACGGTGTACTTTTGCAATTTGTACTCTCTACTTTATTTATATATTTTAAGTAATTGGCTTATCTTTCCCTACACTTTGCATTCCTTTCGGGTTTTTTGTTGCTTTGTTTGTCGTTGTAACTTTCTGACCCCCAGAGGTCCGGTAAGGGGGGACCCTTACCGGACATCTGTTGTAAAAAAATCTTCGCAGCTCATGGGCTTTCTCCAGGATAAACAAATAAAGATTCCGATTTACTTTTACATTTTAGTGATTTGCTTACTGTTCCTCTACGTGGCATTCCTATCAGTGTCTTTGTACTGTTTGAATGCAGCAGTGGGGGCAGCCAGGAGGAGGCAGTACAGCAACAATGTGGACATCTCTTGGATTTCTCCCGGATAAACAAAGACTGTGATTCCGATACCGCTGCGTCTCCGCTCGCACGCACGCTCACTCACTCTGTGGGTCCCAGCGGGCGACCTGCGGAGCCTCAAACACCACGAGCGAGGGCGGCACGGCCACCGTGATCCCCAGCGGGGGGTCACGCGGCTCCCCCTCCGCCTCGTGCTCCTCGCCGGCCCCCCGGGAATCACCCGCCGAGGGGGCCCCCCTTTGTGTCGCCGCATCGCCGCCGCGGTAGGGGTACGACCGCAGGTCCCCCTCCTCCTCGAGCTCCTGCCGCAAACAACACGAGACCCCGACCCCGTCAAGGAACGCAAACCACCATCAAGCAAAATCCAGTCGGCCTTCTGATATTAGGAAGCCACTGGAGCTATGCACTTTTAAATCATCATCTAGATTAAAAACTCATTTCTTTATTACTGCTTTTGGTGTTTAGTTTGTTGTGCTTCCTTCGCACCTCCAATTAGCATGGATGGCTACATACGGAGCGAATGAAATTAAACGTACGCACGTCCGCATACATACATACCCCCACCCCCCCAACGCACGCACGCTTGCACGCAGGTCCTACCCCAGAGATGACGGCATTACGAGTGCAACACAACACAGGTGTCAACTCAAAATGCGGGCGGTGGTGGCGGTGGTGGCGGTGGTGGCGGTGGTAGGGGGAGAGGTAGTGTAGTGGTGAGCGCACTGTGCTAGGAACCTGACGACCTGAGTTCGATTCCTGCTCACGGTCAACATCAGTGACGATTATCTGAACCGGTCCTGGGCCTCCCCTAGGTCGACTCAGCCACTAGGGAGACAAAGGCGGCTGGGCGTGGTGCTGGCCACCCACCCCCTCCTGTGCCGTTCTGGCCTTTATAGGTGCTCGCTAACAGGACTTGCCCCAACAGTATGTTAAGGCTACACGGGGGATCTTTGTTTGATGGTGGTGGTGGCGGTGATCGTGATGGTGGTGGAGGTGGCTACGCTGCTGCTGCGCGTGGCAGCGATCCAGCTCTGTGTGTGGAGGCAGCAACAGCGAGTGTTGGTGGATCACTGCACAGATGTCGCAAAACTCCCTTCCCTAAGCTGTGGGTTGCCGTTGAGGACTCGCCGTGCCACTGGCCCTGCCAGGAGAAGGCGGTACGGCAAAGTGTGGACTATCCAGCTGTTCCTACGGCAACGTTGCACTTGCTGCGTTGTCGTGTAGACCTGTAGAGTTGCCGCGTTCACCTGCGAGCGTTGCCGCGTTCACTCGCCTGCGTGATGGTCCAGCCACTGATGAGCGTGGGCTGCGGAGGCAGCTCCAGCAGATCCACGTAGAGGACTCCGCCGAGAGGCAACTGCTGCCTCAAGTCCACCTCGTCGCTCCCCATCGCCCCGCCATGCTGCTGCACCGGCAGCTCTGAAGCCGGAGACAACGTTCAGACAATGTTCAGACAACGTTCATCGTCAGGGGTCAATGGCAGAGCGGCAGCACGGTGCCTCGCAGCATGACACGCATTGCTTCGATACCTGAACTCGGGTGCACTTCTGTATGGTCTTCCCCCGTGTTGTGCAGAATGTGAGTCTGTGAGTGAGTGGAGTTTGGATGTTCTCCCCGTGGTCGCATGGATTTTTCTCCGGGTCCTTCAGTTTTTCCCCTCCACATTTAGAATCAATGCTTGTTTTGAGTATTTGGATGCTGCTATACATTTCCACGTGATAAGCCATTTCGTTTAGTTATCTGCAGTTTTTCTCACCTCCTTTTGAAATCCACTTTGTATTCTGGGTTTTGTTTGACGATTTTTTAAAATAAAAGTTTATTATTGCTGAGAAAAGTAAATGGGCTTGAGCAGGGCACATGATATCATGGCCGAGTTAGGATGACGGCCGATGGTCCAGACTAACGGCGGGAGCGGCAGCCAACAAACGGAACGCGCCCGAGAGAAGACATCCTCCACGGAGATGGAGCGACGAAATCATCCACGAACGCGACCGTCGCGTGACCGCGATGGGGAGGGATGGCGCGGAGAGAGAGGGAGGGCCTTCATTCAGCAGCGGATAGATCCTAGCTGCGGGCGCTGATGACGATGGTGATCAATCAGAATATCTATACTGGAGGAGGAATCCGATGAGCTATAAAGATTATTTTCACAGATGTCCAGTCGGGGCACGGGGTCAGAACGTTACAGCAACAAACAATACAGAAACTACGGTAGGGAGTGAAAAGTATAGGAAAGGTAAACAAATTAAAAAGTAAAACTAAATTATGTTTGTCTTACCATTTAACTATTAGCTTCGTTTTCACAAGCGACCTGGCCACAAATGATATCTAGTTTCTCATGGGGAGATTTACACCAGAAAGTTTAACACGTAGGCTTTCGCGACCAATATTTAAGAGTTTTTTTGGGTTAGATCGCGTAAATATGTGTTGTTAAACCCGCCACCACCCGACACAGCCAATTAGTAAGGTTTGTCATGTAAACAATTCGTTACTAGTACAGCACACCGATGTGTTGGAGAGTAAACCCACAACATTTACAATTCCAGTATGACGTTTCGCCAGAAATTACAACTCGCATCATCAGGTGGGGGCCAGATTTGTGGTAAAAACCTCCAGTTTCGTTCTTAAATAGATGGATACATGTGACATAGCCACTTGTGAGGCAATCAGCTGCCTCTATTATGGATTATAGCAGCAAAAAAAACCGAGATTATTTTAATGCGTAACGTTGATTCTTAATGTGGAGGGAAAAACCAGAGGACTCGGAGAAAAAATCCACACGACCACGGGGAGAGAGAGAGAGACACGCAAACTACAAATAATCCAGCAGGCGTCAAGGTCGGGATCAATCCCCCGACCTCCTGCATACCAGGCGAGGCAGTTAACATCTTGGTGTAAGCCTGCTCAGGGCGTAAGCGCGGCTCACCTGGTGGTGCAGCTCGGTCCGTCTCCACCACGGTGATCTCCGTCTCCTCCTCTGTCCCAGCAACCTTCTCATCGTCCGCCTGTGATGAGGTGCTCATTGGACTCTGCGCACACGAGGCCGAAGGAGCGCGCTTCACGTTTAGTTTGATCGACATTGGGTGTTTCGGTACGCAGGAGCTCGTGGGTTTGATCCCGACCCTGACGCCTGCTGTATATTTGGAGCTTGCATCTTTCTCTCTCTCCCTGTGGTCATGTGGATTTTTCTCCGGGCCCTCTTGTTTTTACCACTACATTTAGAATAAACATTATGCGTTTAGAGTATTTGGCTGCTATAAATATCCACTCAATAATCCACTTCTTTGAGCTATCATTTGTGATAGCCAGGTCTCTTCTGAAAAAAAGAGCCATATCGCTCAGTGGGCCTTACCTGGTAAAATACAAAATAGTTTAAGACTTAAATAATTTATGCGTGCAAACTGGCGCATTTCATTCGTAGATCCCACCAAAGCGCCACCGTGTATGGAAAGCAGGAAAATAAACAGAACCTGCTGAGTACACGGCCAGAACTAGCAGGCAAAGGGCAGTTTACCCACTCACCCACCCACTCACCCACCCACTCACCCACCCACCCACTCACCCACCCACATACCCACCCACTCACCCACCCACTCACCCACCCACTCACCCACCCACCCACTCACCCACCCACTCACCCACCCACCCACCCACCCACTCACCCACCCACTCACCCTCCCACCCACTCACCCACTCACCAACTCACCTTCTCACCCACTCACCAACTCACCCTCTCAACCACCCACTCGCCCACCCACCCACTCACCCACCCGCTCACCCACCTGCCCACTCACCCGCCCACCCACCCACTCACCCACCTTCTCACCCACCTACTCACCCACCCACTCACCCACCCACTCACCCACCCACCCACTCACCCACTCACCCACCCACTCACCCACCCACCCACCCACTCACCCACCCACCCACTCACCAACTCACCCTCTCACCCACTCACCAATTCACCCTCTCACCCACTCACCCACTCGCTCAGAACCAGGGTAAACGGCTGGAACTAGGGGGGGGGGTTAAATCCCTCCCTCCCGCCACCACCGCCTCCTCTCACCTTGCGCCTCTCAATTTGCGCCGCACCTTCCTCTGCCTGCGCGCTCGGCTCCTCCGCTCCGCCGCCACCGTCGCCAACGGCAGCCTCCCCTCCCTCCTTCCCCTCCTGCTCGGCTCCCTCCTCCTCCTCCCGCCGCTCCTTCTCCGGCGGCGCCGCCGTTGCGTCTCCCGTCCGCGGTCTCGCGTCCGATCGTTCAGCCGGATCGGCGGCTGGTCCGGCGGGAACGCCATCCGTCGTTGCGGTCGTGAGGTCGGAGGTGGCGCAGAGGTGGGTGAGGTGGTCGTAGCGGGTCCACAGGATGCGCACGGCGACCGGGCAAGCGGCCAGCGGCTTGGGCAGCTCGAAGCCCACGCCCCGATCCGCAAATTCGTAGCCTTTAAACCTGCGCAGGTGGTTGGCGGACAACGTGGCAGGAGGAATGTCCGTGAATTGTAACTGTAATAAAAACAATGACTTTATTTCATTAAAAATTATGGTGACAACCCGGTTTCACGTCGGGGATGCGTTCCTGTATGCCACCCAGTGTGCCACCCGGTGTGCCACACGGTGTGCCACACGGTGTGCCACCCAGTGTGCCACCTCGGATTCTTGTTGAGGTTGGCCCACAGCATGAGGGTCATGAAGGGGCTCTCCACCACCGTCTGAAGGTTGCCAGTCTCGAGGTCGGCGTCCTTGCTTGCACACTGGCACCCGGCACACACACAGATTCCCCGTATAGGCTCAACAGACTGTTGGGTCAAGTGCTGTTTATGACAGGCACCTATGAAGGCCGGCATGGCACACGAGGGATTGAGTGGCCAGCACCACACCCGACTGCCTTTGTCTCCCCAATGACAATGTTTACACACTGCAGCAGGTACTCATTTGAGGCCGAGTCAACCTAGGGTAGGCCCGGGACTGGTTTGATAATCGTCACTGATGTTGATTGTGAGCGAGAATCGAACCCGGGTCGCAGGGTTCGTCGTGCAGCATGCTAACCGCTACACTACCGCCATCACCACCACCACCATCATCACCAATACCCAGCGCCATTCGCCACGAAGTGACGGTGACATCATCACGGTGCCTGTGCCTAGGCCAGGTGCACTTTGAGGCCACGTGATGTGTCGAAGCCTCGCTGGCAGAAATAAAAAATGGGACAGACCCAGGTGCCATGGGTCGACTGATTGAGATGACTGGCAGATGCACCAGCTGTGACCCCGACTGTGCCAACACCACCAACACCAACACCACCACCATCACCACGTGCACCAGCGTAGCTGGATAGACTCCATTCCGAGCCATCAACCAATCACCTTCAGCAGGTCATGGGTGACCTGGTCCAGCTTTCTGGCGATGATCTCCTGCAGCTGCAGGATGGAGTGGCGATGCCGGGACACAGTCTGCACATTGAGAACTCCGTCCGGCGTGTCAGCCAGAATAAGCTCCAGCTCCTCAATCAGCTGCACACACCACGAAGGCAAAGATCCAGCATGTAGCCTCTATAAAACAGACTGCACCCAACAGCACGTCGCCCTCCATGCAGAATCATGGAGCAGCAGGGTGCGCACGGACTGACGCGAACTGTATCCCCGCATCCCTTCAAAACCGCGGGACAGAAAACAGGTGAGGGAGAGACAAGGACAAAGATCCCCCATATATCCTTAACAGGTTATTGGGCAAAGTTCCGTTCTCGAGCAGCTATGAAGGTTGACACGGCGCAACTATATGGGGGACCCATATGAGGGGGGTGGGTGACCGACGCAACGCCCAGCTGCTTTTGTCTCCCCAGTGCTGACGTTGAAGAGCATAAACCATCATCACGGGAACCCCGCCGGTCATCCTCGCAGCAGCTGCGGCGGCCTCTGCCATCGAACAAAGACGGTTGCCGTATCGCAGCGCGTTCAGATGCGCTTTTACGGCCGTCTGGAACGCTCTTCCGTCCGATATCAGGAAGCGACTAGGGTCTACGCACTTTTAAATCATCATCTATATTGAAGAATCTTTTCTTTAGAACTGCTTTTGTGTGTTTAGTTTGTTGTGCTTCCTCCGCACCTCCAATTAGCACGGGTGGCTACATGCGGTGCGAAAGAAGTTCAACATACATACGAAATATCACCTGCAAATCACTCAATTACATTTAACATCACCCCCCTACTGCACAAACTTGGCAGGAACCCTCCTGTAGAAAAAAAACGAGTGAGAAAAAAATTATAATAATAAATGAAGCTAAACAGCTCTTTTTCACAAATGCCAGCTCAACGAAGTGGCTCATCATCATAATCATCGCGTGGAAATTTATGGCAGCAGCCAAAAGCTCTCAACGTGTGATGTTGATTATAAATGTGGAGGAAAAAACCGGAGCACCCGGTGAAAAATCCACGCGACCACGGGGAGAGAGAGAACAAGCAAACTGCAAATAGACAGCAGGTGTCAGGATCGGGATCGAACCCACGCCCTCCTGCATACCAGATTAGGTAGTTAACATCTTGCCAACGCGGCACCCCAATAATAAACACGTATGTGCGTGTATACAGATGCAGAGCGGTGGTTGTGTTGGTGCCGTGGGTTCGCGCGCTAACGTCCAGCGTTGTGCTACACTCCCGTAGCATCGTGGCGACGTCAAGCGGGGGTTTATCGTCATGCGTAAATGTATAGCGGTAGGCACATACTCTAAATGCACGTTGATTCTAAATGTGGAGAGAAAAACCGGAGGAATCGGAGAAAAATCCACAACCAGGGTCAGGATCGAACCGCCGCACGCCTGTGTACCAGGCGAGGTCGTTAACATCTCACCACCGTGACGCCACGGTGGTGACATACAGAGCGGTGGTTGTGTTGGTGCCGCGGGTTTGCGCCCTCACGTCCAGCGCGGTGCTGCACTCCGGCAGCACCGTGGCGACGTCACGTGGGGCACTCTCGGCCCAGAGGCTCAGGAAGGTGTTGATCTCCTTCGCCTCGCTCGGGTCCGGGGTGCCGTCGCAGCGCATGTAGCGCTCCCACTGCGAGTGGCGCGAGAGGGTGCGGACTCAGAGCAGCAGCAGCAAGTTATCTGTGTGTATGCTGAACGTCTTTCGCACCGTATGTAGCCAACCGTGCTCATCGGCGGTGCGGGGGAATGACAACAAAATTAAAGGCAAAAATCAGTTCTAAAGAAATTAGTTTTCAATCGAGATTATTCAAACGTGCATAGCTCCACTGGCTTCCTAACATGATGAAGCTTAGCACGGTTGGCTTGCCACAAATGAACCACAATACCTTGATGATCTCGTCAAGGAGCATAAACCATCATCATGCCAACTCTGGTCATCCTCACAGTGGCCTTTGGCTAACCTTCCGAGCCATGCACTTTAAAATCATCATCAAGATAGACAAGCTCATTTATTTTCTAAGTGCTTTTTGTGTTTAGTTTGTTGTCCTACCCCTGGCACCTCCAATTTGCACGGTTGGCTATGCACGGTGCCAAAGAATTTCAACATCCACACATACAAACAATACAACAAACGATAGGAGTGCATAGTAGAGGTAAAGGTAAGAAAATCACTAAAAAATTAACCCGTAAAAACAAAGTTTTTCACTATAAATCCTTTATATGCGTGGCGGCTAGAGTCCTCTCGTCCTCTGGCTTGAGATGGCTGCCACCTATGGGTCAGATGATTGCCTGCCACCATTAAGCAATTGGTAATTAAATATAATTTATTTTTTCCTAAAAAGTGTAAAATTTTGGGAAAAAAATTTCACTAAAATAAATTGTCACGCACAACGAGTCTGTATGCAAAATGTCAGCTCGATTGGATCACGGGAAGTGGGTTAAAAAACGACCGAAAGATTTGCACGGTCGTAAGCGTGCAAGCAAGCAAGCAAGTGAACTTAATATAAAGGATTTAAAAATAAATGAGCACTCGTCAGCTCTGCAGGGAACGCGAGCGTCTGGAGAGTCGCCGTGTAGCCATCACCTGAGCGCTGGCTCTCTGCTGGCTCTCCGCCTGCGCCGTGCTGAGCCGCACGGCCTGCAGGGCCTCGCTCAGCTCCGCCAGTTCTCCATCACGGCGCTCGCGCTCCTGCACGCACACACACACGGTCACCTTGCTCTTACGTAACTTTTTGTAATTTTTGCATCACCTTTTTTAACTTTTGCGAACCTTTTTTGTGTTTTTGCGTGATGTCTTCACTTTAGCGTAAGTTGTTTGTACTTGTGCTTAATTTTATTAATTTTAATTAAATTGTTTACCAACGTGACTTTACCGAAAGAACTAAGAGTATGAATCCTTGCAAATCTAGAATTAATTTTAGCAAAACTTTTTTTTACTTTTGCATAACTTTCTTTTCTCTTTCCCCCGTCTTGAAATGTTTTGTCCATTTCTGCCACCCCCAACCACCGCCTACCTCTCCACTCCCATCGTGCCCAAACGTGATCTGGACTTTTTATCTTGGCACCGCGTCACGAGACGGAGTGTCCAGGTCATTGGGGGTCCGTGCCAACCACGGCGATCACCATGTGGCCGGGTTACCTTGGCCTCCAGCCGCTCCCTCTCCTCCACCTCCAGCCGCTCCCTCTCCTGCCTCTCCGCCTCCTCCTGCTCCTTGCGTATGCGGGCCTCCTCTGCGCAACGACAAAAGACAAAGATCCCCCGTGTAGCCTCAACAGACTGTTGGGGCAAGTACCGCGCGGTACACGAAGAGGGTGGGTGGCCAGCACCACGCCCGGCCACTGTCTCCCTTGCGGCAATATTTACACACCACACCAGGTACGCGTTTGAGGGTGAGTTAACCTAGAGGGGGAGGACCAGGATCGGTTCAGATAATCGTCACAGGCGCTGGCTGTGAGTGGGAAGCGAACTTGGGGCTCCAGGTTCGTAGCGGAGCGTGCTAACCGCTGCGCTCACCGCTCCACTGCACAACGACACAGGCCGACAGAAACACAACAACAACAACCAATGGTGGTGGTGATGAAGTTGTGAGAGTGGAGTGCGAGGCTGTAGTGGCGGCTTGGCTCTGGCTCGAGTGAGCCGGCTCAAAGAGCCACGCTTAACTTCTGAGCCAGCTCCGACCAGTGCACGTTTCCCAGGCATGCTCAGGGATTTTCCCCCACGAGCAGAGCCTCAGTCGAGCCGCACTTTTGGAAGCAAGTGAGTGGCTCAAGGTTGGATTATAAGAGGCTAGATACAACGATAAACTATTTTTTATTATTTTACCAGGTAAGGCTCACTTGAGCTTTATAGCTCTTTTTCAGAAGCGACTTGCCCAAAATCAGAATATGCAGGAGGAATCCGATTAATTATAGAGCTCTTTTTCAAAGATGTCCAGTAGGGGGGCACGGGTCAGAACGTTAAAACAAGAAACACAAACATGATAGGGGTGCAATAAATGATAGCTCAACGAAGTGGCTCATCATGTAGACATTTATAGCAGCAGCCAAATACTCTAAACGCGTGACGTTGATTCTGAATGTGGAGGGAAAAAACCAGAGGACCTGGAAAAAACATCCACGCGACCACTGGGAGAGAGAGAGAGACACGCAAACTCCAAATATAGAACGGGCATCGTCAAGAGTCGGGATCGAACCCATGCCCTCCTGCATACCAGGCGAGGGAGTTAACATCTCTTAGCCACCGTGATGATGATGAGAAAGAGAGACGCAAAGGGGCCGTCCATAAATGACGTCACGCGATTTTGGACAATTTTTTACTCCCCCCCCCCCTTCGTCACACGGCGTCACAAAAAGTCAGACCCCCCCCTCAAATATGACGTCACGAAGCTCTGCCCCCCCCTCAAAAAAAATAAAACATGCTTCAAATCGCTTTAAACTATTGTCATTGTAGTGCGTATTTAATGTGGCGCTGCACTCTGATGTTGTAGGAGAAAACACTTATTACAAAGTCTATTTAATTTAGTAGAACGTGTTGTCTATATTTATTTAAAGGTGCGCATTTTGATGTGACGTCACATTTCTAAAAAAAAAACCCTCGTCACATATCGTCACAAATGTCTGACCACCCCCCCCCCCCTAGGTTTGTGACGTCATTTATGGACGACCCCAAACTCCAAATATACAGCAGCAGGCATCGTCAGGGTCGGGATCGACCCCACGACCTCCTGCGTACCGGGCGAGGGAGTTAACATCTCCTGGCCACCGTGATGATGATGATGACAGAGAGAGAAAGACGCAAACTCCAAATATACAGCAGCAGCAGCAGGCATCGTCAGGATCGGGATCAAACCCACGACCTCCTGCGTACCAGGCGAGGTAGTTAACACCTCCTGGCCACCGTGGCGCAATGCTGGAAGACAACAAACCTTCCTCCTGCCTCCTGCGTTCCTCCTCCTTTTGCTTGTCCACCTTTCCCGACCGCCTCTTGCCGCTGGCGACGACGCTGCGGCTCTTGGCCGACTGCTCACGGTGAAAACACGACAGAGACATGCGGCGCTTAACGATATTCATTCATTTTATGTATTTATATTTGTTGATTTGGTCACCTTTTCAACATACGTTGCTCTCCCATCGCTTGTTTGTATGTACACGTGTTGAACACCTTTCGCACCGTACGTGGCCAACCGTATGTTGTGGAGGAAAAAAACCGGAGGAGGATCGGAGACAAATCCAAGCCACCACGTGGAGAGAGAGACACGAAGACTCCAAATATACAGGAGCAGGCGTCGTCAGGGTCGGGATCGACCCCACGACCTCCTGTAGACGAGGTAGTCAACATCTACCACGACCTCCTGTAAACCAGGCGAGGTAGTTAACATCTACCACGACCTCCTGTATACCAGGCGAGGTAGTCAACATCTACCACGACCTCCTGTATACCAGGCGAGGTAGTCAACATCTACCACGACCTCCTGTAGACCAGGTGAGGTAGTCAACATCTACCACGACCTCCTGTAGACCAGGCGAGGTAGTCAACATCTACCACGACCTCCTGTAGACCAGGCGAGGTAGTCAACATCCACCACGACCTCCTGTAGACCAGGCGAGGTAGTTAACATCTACCACGACCTCCTGTAGACCAGGCGAGGTAGTCAACATCTACCACGACCTCCTGTAGACCAGGCGAGGTAGTCAACATCTACCACGACCTCCTGTAGACCAGGCGAGGTAGGCAACATCTACCACGACCTCCTGTAGACCAGGCGAGGTAGTCAACATCTACCACGACCTCCAGTAGACCAGGCGAGGTAGGCAACATCTACCACGACATCCTGTAGACCAGGCGAGGTAGGCAACATCTACCACGACCTCCTGTAGACCAGGCGAGGTAGTCAACATCTACCACGACCTCCAGTAGACCAGGCGAGGTAGGCAACATCTACCACGACCTCCTGTAGACCAGGCGAGGTAGTCAACATCTACCACGACCTCCTGTAGACCAGGCGAGGTAGTCAACATCTACCACGACCTCCTGTAGACCAGGCGAGGTGGTCAACATCTACCACGACTTCCTGTAGACCAGGCGAGGTGGTCAACATCTACCACGACCTCCTGTAGACCAGGCGAGGTGGTCAACATCTACCACGACCTCCTGTAGACCAGGCGAGGTGGTCAACATCTACCACGACTTCCTGTAGACCAGGCGAGGTGGTCAACATCTACCACGACTTCCTGTAGACCGGGCGAGGTGGTCAACATCTACCACGACTTCCTGTAGACCAGGCGAGGTGGTCAACATCTACCACGACCTCCTGTAGACCAGGCGAGGTGGTCAACATCTACCACGACTTCCTGTAGACCAGGCGAGGTAGTCAACATCTACCACGACCTCCAGTAGACCAGGCGAGGTAGGCAACATCTACCACGACCTCCTGTAGACCAGGCGAGGTAGGCAACATCTACCACGACCTCCTGTAGACCAGGCGAGGTAGTCAACATCTACCACGACCTCCTGTAGACCAGGCGAGGTAGGCAACATCTACCACGACCTCCTGTAGACCAGGCGAGGTAGGCAACATCTACCACGACCTCCTGTAGACCAGGCGAGGTAGTCAACATCTACCACGACCTCCTGTAGACCAGGCGAGGTAGGCAACATCTACCACGACCTCCAGTAGACCAGGCGAGGTAGGCAACATCTACCACGACCTCCTGTAGACCAGGCGAGGTAGGCAACATCTACCACGACCTCCTGTAGACCAGGCGAGGTAGTCAACATCCACCACGACCTCCTGTAGACCAGGCGAGGTAGTTAACATCTACCACGACCTCCTGTAGACCAGGCGAGGTAGTCAACATCTACCACGACCTCCAGTAGACCAGGCGAGGTAGTCAACATCTACCACGACCTCCAGTAGACCAGGCGAGGTAGTCAACATCTCACGACCTCCAGTAGACCAGGCGAGGTAGTCAACATCTACCACGACCTCCAGTAGACCAGGCGAGGTAGTCAACATCTACCACGACCTCCAGTATACCAGGCGAGGTAGTCAACATCTCACGACCTCCAGTAGACCAGGCGAGGTAGTCAACATCTACCACGACCTCCAGTAGACCAGGCGAGGTAGTCAACATCTCACGACCTCCAGTAGACCAGGCGAGGTAGTCAACATCTACCACGACCTCCAGTAGACCAGGCGAGGTAGTCAACATCTCACGACCTCCTGTAGACCAGGCGAGGTAGTCAACATCTACCACGACCTCCAGTAGACCAGGCGAGGTAGTCAACATCTCACGACCTCCAGTAGACCAGGCGAGGTAGTCAACATCTACCACGACCTCCAGTAGACCAGGCGAGGTAGTCAACATCTCACGACCTCCTGTAGACCAGGCGAGGTAGGCAACATCTTGGCACTGCCGCTATGAGTTGCCACACGATCTCGATGATACATTAACCTCGTTGAGCTATAATTTGTGGCCAAGGTCGTCACTGAAACACATTTATATAACTCAGTGGGCCTTACCTGGTCAAATAAAATATAAATGTTTTTAGTTCGCTCGAGGCGAGAGAATCTGAGAGGAAATGTTCCGTCCAACAAGCGGCAGCGTGAGTTGGGGTAAAGTGTGTGGGTATCTCTCGCACACTCCCGCAGAGACGCGAGTGGCCAGGCGTGGAAGAGTAGGCCTACGTCTCTCTCTCGATGGGGAGGGGGTCCCTTCTCCTAGCACGGGCGTGAGCCTGCGCCTTTAACCAGATTCAACACGAAGCAAGCCCTGTTAAAACTTGTAACGTTATACGCGTAAAGGGAAGTTATAAAAGTTAAGATTAATGAGAACTGACCATTGTAGAGTGAATCTCAAGTCAACCCGGCCCTCCGTGTTGAAGCCAAGCGCCGCGTCGCCGTAGCAACCGGGGGGCGGGGGTGGGCGGGGCGAGGGGGCGGGGCGAGGGGGCGGGGGTAAGCGGGGCGAGGGGGCGGGGCGAGGGGGCGGGCGGGGCGAGGGGGCGGGGCGAGGGGGCGGGGTGTGGGCGGGGCGAGGGGGCGGGGCGAGGGGGCGGGGCGAGGGGGCGGGGTGTGGGCGGGGCGAGGGGGCGGGGTGTAGGCGGGGCGAGGGGGCGGGGCGAGGGGCGGGGTGTGGGCGGGGCGAAGGGCGGGGTGGGGTAGAGACGCCTTCTCATTGGTCCAGAGCTCCTGCGCGGCTCGCTGACCACGCCCACTGGGCACCGGTATAGGCCCCGCCCACAGAGCGATGACGCGAATTAGATGCCCCGCCCACTAGAGTGGAGGATGATTTCAGTTTATTTCATTTCATGTTAAATTTCGATTTAAAGCTTTCGTGACTGCAGGGATTCATCTTCTTGGTTCTTTCGGTAAAGTCACGTAGAATGGAAATAATAAAATAATAAAAAAATATATATTTTTTTATTCTGTTTCTTATTTGATTTTTTCCATTCTACGTGACTTTACCGAAAGAACCAATAAGATTCATTTCATGTATTAAGTATTGCCCTGTGAGCCATTCGGCTTTCGAATCGGGTGCAACCACAACAAACAAAAGACAAAAACATTAAAAAGAAAACATCTTAAAGTGAATATGTGACTAAGTGTAAACAGAAAATCCAGGAAAAACAGCAAAATATTCCAGAAAAAGCGCCGTACACCAACGCTGTGTGCAAAAATCCCAGTGGGATGCAAGTCAAACAACAACAACAACAACCACAAGACAACTTAGATTAAGGCCATCATTTTAACTCCGTACTACAACAAACAAACATGGCCAAACCAAAAAACGTTTTCGAAATCACCAAAATAAAGCCATAAAAGCAATGAAACAGTGATCATAGGAACTGTGACCAAATTGTCACAATAAACGACATAAACAACATGTACCACCAAAACCCTGCAGCCATAGCTGGCTGCATGAGTCACTCCACAACAGCAGGAGCATCAGTCGGAGTATAAAACATGTTAAATGCACCTTTAAGATCAGCACACTAAATCAAAACACAGGTCATACTTTGCAGCGGTCATCCGGAGCGAAACATTTTATTTTATTTGAGGCCACTGAATAGCAGTGGCAGCTCAATAGCAGTCGCAGCTATATACAAGGTACAGGAGCAGAGCTGCGTATTGCTAATTCGCATTTAATACTTGATCATATGTAACTAAATTCTTGGTTCTTTCGGTAAAGTCACGTAGAATGGAAATAATAAAATAATAAAAATAAAATATAATAAAATAATATTCTATTCTTTTATTATATACTTATTTTATTATATTCTTTTATTACATTATATGATTTTATAATGTTTTATTTTTATTATTTTATTATTTCCATTCTACGTGACTTTACCGAAAGAACCAAGAAGATGAATCCCTGCAGTCACGAAAGCTTTAAATCCATATATAACTAATGCACCGGATCATGAGAAGCCAGATAGACACAATAAACCATTTATTTTATTTTACCAGAAATGTGTCTCTGAGCTATGCAAGTTCTTCATCACAAGCGACCTGGCTATCACAAATCATAGCTCAAACGAAGTGGCTTATCATCACCATCACCGTGTGGACATGAGTTAACAGCAGCCAAATACTCTACAAACGCGTGATGTCCGTTTTAAATGTGGAGGGGAAGACCGGAGGAGGATACGGAGACAAATCCCCATGCGACCACGGGGGGGAGAGACGCAGACTCCAATTATACAGCAGCAGGCACCGTTTGGGTCGGGATCGACCCCACGACCTCCTGTATACCAGGCGAGGTAGTTAACATCTCCTAGCCACCGTGGCGCCCCAGGATACATATTGAAACGGCACTCTTAGAGTACAAAACAAATAATTTTGACTCCAGAATGAATCACATTTGATGTGCTCAATAAAATGAATCTTATCTATTTGGTGTTTGAAGAACTTAACACGTGTTTTATTGCCAGAAAGTGTAAAACCTGTTACTATTTGTCATACTTTGATACTGACAAAACAGGTATCCTAAGATATCGCTGCTCACTTTGAGCTATAAATGCTCTGACACGTGCGGCATTCTCCTCGTACTGTTCGCCGTCTGGTGCTGGTCTCTGGCCTGCTACTGGTGGTGAGACGAGGCCGTGACGAAGGCTGCCTGTGTGGTGTCGGCCAATAGGTTTCAAACACAAGGCCATATATTGTCAGAGCATTCTAGATTATCAGAGCATGTTTCATCTTATTGGTTCTTTCGGTAAAGTCACGTAGAAGGAAAATAATAAAATAATAAAAATAAAACATAATAAAATAATTCTCACGACGTTTCGGCCACAACGCAAGCAGCCGTCCTGGTCTCCACCTGAGGACGGCTGCTTGCGATGTGGCCGAAACGTCGTGAGAATTATTTTATTATTCTTAGGTTTTTTTTCGGTAAAGTCACGTAGGTAAAACATTAAAATTAATAAAAGTAAAATAAAATAAAAATCACGACGTTTCGGAGGCAACACAAGTCTCCGTCATCAGGTGGGACCGTCACAGCCAGATTTGCTGCATCAAGTGAGGCAATGATTCAAGATGTAATCCCTTAAAAGCGAGTTGAGGGGGGAGGAGAGGGGGGGGAGCTCATCAGAATGTGGTAGCCAATGAATGGAACGTATCGGGAGGGAGGGGGGCGGGGCCAATTTTTACCTACGTGACTTTATCGAAAAAACCTAAGAATATGAATCCCTGCAGTCACGAAAACTTCAAATCTAGAATTATTTTATTATGTTTTATTTTTATTATTTTATTATTTCCCTTCTACGTGACTTTACCGAAAGAACCAAGAAGATGAATCCCTGCAGTCACGAAAGCTTTACATCGAAATAGAGCATGTTTGTTTGCATGTTCACCACACGTACTGTGTGGTGGTCACTGCAGACTCGATACCTTGCAAAAGGAATCAATTTGGTTGTTTGAACACCTTAGGGGCCGTCCATAAATGACGTCACGCGATTTTGGATGATTTTTGACTCCCCCCACCCCCTTCGTCACACGGCGTCACAAAAAGTCAGACCCCCCTCAAATATGACGTCACAAAGCTCTGCCCCCCCCAAATAAATAAATAAAACATGCTTCAAATCGCTTTAAACTATTGTCATTGTATTGCGTATTTAATGCGGCGCTGCACTCTGAGAAAACATTTATTAAAAAGTCTATTTAATTAAGTAGAACGTGTTGTCTATATTTATTTAAAGTTGCACATTTTGATGTGACGTCACATATCTCAACCCCCCCACCCCTCGTCACACATCGTCACAAATGTCTGACCCCCACCCCCCCTAGGTACGTGACGTAATTTATGGACGGCCCCTTAACACCTCCCGTTTGATTGCCAGAAAGCGTTAACACCTATTTTAATTTTTCATACAAAAGTGGGTTGCTTGTAGAAAGAAAATGCAGTATGTCGAGTGTACGCCACCCCCTTTTTATTTACATTATCAAATGTGAATCATTCTGGGGTCAAAATAATCATGTATGTTGTCCTTTAGGGTGCGAATCAAAGTGTGTGCATTGGAAAACTTGTTTCTGCCAAACCGCTCCGCCTGAATTAGAGCAGCACCCAATCCTCTGTTTAAACACAGCGCAGTTGAATATTATTTGTTTATCTACGACAGTGGATTTAAAGAGTTCCCCATGTGGGGTGCCTCTTCTAGAGAGGCCGCTGCGACCGGGCCGTTGTGGCTTTTAGTTTCTCTCTCTCCTCCGGCAGCGAGCAAAGGGAAGCAATTTGCAGACGAGGCTGGCAACTTCTTAGGCATTCACATTCCGTCTGTGTGCGACCTCCGTGTGGACTGTCGGCCTGTCCGTTCTTGCCAAGTTGCGGACAAACACGCACCAAGTCGGGATTCGAAGTTGTGGCGAAGGGAATTACTCCGTGGACGGTTCATTGTTACGATTGTGTACCGCCATCGCGTCCTGCGTGACCCATCAGGTATGTGGTTGATGTTTGTCCATGAACAAAGGGATTTGCTGTTGGGTTAGATCGCGTAAATATGAAATGTGTCGTTAAACCCGCCACCACCACCACCCGACACAGCCAATTGGTAAAGGTCACGTCAACAGAATCGTGCCAATTTAGTTCTATCTTCTTGGTTCTTTCGGTAAAGTCACGTAGAATGGAAATAATAAAATAATACATTTTTTACATCATAAATTAATTCTCACGACGTTTCGGTCACAACGCAAGCAGCCGTCCTCAGGTGAAGAACAGGTCTGTCGAGAAGACAGACTCTGTTCTCAGGTGAAGAACAGGTCTGTCGAGAAGACAGCGTCTGTCTTCTCTGTCCTCGGGTGAAGAACAGGTCTGTCGAGAAGACAGACCTGTTCTTCACCTGAGGACGGCTGCTTGCGTTGTGGCCGAAACGTCGTGAGAATTAATTTATAATGTTTTATTTTTATTATTTTATTATTTCCATTCTACGTGACTTTACCGAAAGAACCAAGAAGATGAATCCCTGCAGTCACGAAAGCTTTAAATCGAAATGTTATTTAGTTCTAGTTCAGCACTAACCACCGGTTGTATGTTAGGAGAGCAGGAAACCCACTACAAGATCTACAATTCGAGTAGCGTGATGATTACAGCCAGCAGCTTCATCACGCGCGATTGGCCACAATTGTGAAGAAGTCTTCCTGTTTAATGTATCATTCACGGGATCTAACCAAAGACAAACTCTTATTATCGATGATATTGATCGCGAAGTATTGGTCAGGGGGAATGCGACGACAAATATCGAAACGACGTCAGTCAGGAGCGATTCTTCCGATTTACCAAAAATACTGCGCCGCAAATAAGATACGGGGTGTACGGTATGAATATACCCCAAAAAACGACGAAAAGTGTAATCCAAATAATAGAGGTTTTTTGTGTTCGATCGGATAAATATAAATGTGTCGTTAAACCCGCCACCACCCGACACAGCCAATTATTAAGGTTTGTAACGTGAACAGAACGTGCCAATTGGCTACAATTGTAAATGTAGTGGATTCACTCTCCAACACACCGGTGTGCTGTAACGAATTGGCACTGTTCTGCTGTACGTGAGAAATCCTCACTAATTGGCTGTGTCGGGTGGTGGCGGGTTTAACGACACATTTATTTACGCGATCTAACCCAAAAATGAATAATATTGGTCGCGAAAGCGTTCGTGTTAAACTGAAGAGTTGTATTGTTATTTGAGATAATGACATAAATCAATACCATGACGTAATTTGTCATGGTATTGATGAGATATTATCGAAGTATTAACACACTTCTACCTCTCGTCGATCATTCACTATGATCAGTCTTCATTCGGCGTTAAAACTCTTGAGAAAACATTATCCGATGTGGGGGGCAATGGGGGGGGGGGGGGGGTTGGTGGAGGAGGGTTGTGTGGTGGGGAGTGGTGGGTGGGTGGGTTTGGTGGGGGAGGGGAGAGTGGTGGGTGGGTTTGGTGGGTGGGAGAGTGGTGGGTGGGTTTGGTGGGTGGTGGAGTGGTGGGTGGGTTTGGTGGGGATGGCTGCGCTAATTAATTGCAGACGTTGAGGACGGACACCTTGCAAAAGCTCTGTATGGTTCTTCACGTGTAGTAAGTGTTACATTTGATGTTGTATTACTTTATTTTAAAATAAATGCATAAGTCGCATTCATCACGTTCAAAACGGATGTTTCAAGAGCGGAAACTGTTGGGGCCGAAAACGTAACTCAGTTGTCCAACATCGGAGGGAGTCAATTGGGAAAACGACGACGACGACGCTCAGTTGACGCACACTTCGCTGAGCGAACGAATTGTCCGCCGAATGCGCTCAAGACGCACCTGCGGTGTCCCCCACGTGCTCTTAGGAAGAGGAGGAAGAGGAATGGCGGTGAGCAGGAGGTACTGCCTCTCGTGCGGCACGCTGCTCCTATGCTGCTGCATCGTCATCAACATCGCCACCATCGTCATCCTCCTGGTGCACAATCCCAGGAGCAGGAGTCACTCCGAGGCCATCGGGGGCCAGGGACTCCCGCTGCTGCTGGAGAGGGAGGAGGCCCGACACGTGGCCGTGCAGGCCAACGTCAACAGCAACGTCAACAACAACAACATCGACAACAACATTGACAACAACATCAAAGACAACAACGTCCGGGGTAACTGCGCCGCTGTGAAGGGTCACCCAGAACAAGGGCACCGGTGGCCGGGGGGTTCGATTCATTCTGAACTCGGGCACCTTGCTCTGGAGCACGTGGGGGTGTGTTAGTGTGTGTGTGTCAGTGTGGGTGTGTGTCAGTGTGTGTGTGTGTCAGTGTGTGTGTGTGTTAGTGTGGGTGTGTGTTAGTGTGGGTGTGTGTTAGTGTGTGTGTGTGTGCGTGTGTCAGTGTAGGTGTGTATTAGTGTGTGTGTGTCAGTGTGTGTGTGTCAGTGTGGATGTGTGTTAGTGTGTGTGTGCGTGTGTCAGTGTAGGTGTGTATTAGTGTGTGTGTCAGTGTGTGTGTGTTCTCTCAGGTCGACTCAGCCTCAAATGAGTACCTGGTGCGGTGTGTAAACATTGCCACTAGGGAGACAAAGCCGGTCGGGCGTGGTGCTGGCCACCCACCCCCTCGTGTGCCGTTCTGGCCTTCATAGGTGCTCGCTAACAGCACTTGCTCCTACAGTCTGTTAAGGCTACACGGGGGATCTTTATCTTTATCTCTCTGGTGGGGAGCGGTAGTTATAGCAGTTACCCGGCAGCGACCCCAGTTCAATTCCCGCTCACAGCCAACACCAGTGACGATTATCTGAACCGGTCCTGGGACTCCCCTAGGCCAACTCGGCCTCAAGTGAGTACCTGGTATGGTGTGTAGTAAACATCGCCACTAGGGAGACAAAGGCGGTCGGGTGTGGTGCTTGCCACCCACCTCCACGTGTACCTTCATAGGTGTTCGCTAACAGCACTTGCCCCAACAGCCTATTAAGGCTATATGGGGGATATTTGTCTTCTCCCTTCATACTGCAGATTCACTGAGTGAGTGTGTAAGTGAGAGTATGTGGAGTTTAATTCTAAACGTGCAGAGAAACAACTGTAGGACCCGGAGAAAAGTCCACACGACCCCGAGGAGAGCGAGAAAGACGCAAACTTCAAATATACAGCAGCAGCAGGCATCGTCAGGGTCGGGATCCAACCCACGTCCTCCTGTAGACCAGGCGAGGGAGTTAACATCTTCTATCCATCATGGCGAGCCATATAGTGGACTGCAAGCGCCCACGGTGGAAGGATATTGCGTCCTGACAAAAGCGGATTTTTATTTTCTCCAAGTCCTCCGGTTTTCCCCTCCACATTTAGAAACGTCGATTTAGATTGTTGAGATGATTTCGCTGCGATACATTTCCACACGATGAACATGAGCCACTTTGTTGAGCTATCATTTGTGGCGAGGTCAATTCTAAAAAGAACTTCATATCGCAGTGGGCTTCGCCTGGTACAATTAAATAGGTTTGATTTGTATTTTCTTTTGGTGATATGCATTGTTGTTTTTGTAACGTTCTGACCCCGTGCCCCCAACTGGACACCTGTGAAAAAGAGGGTTTTAGCTCATCGGATTCCTCGACTATAGATAAATATTCTGATGATGATTAATTCTCCATTCGATGAAAAATTAAGGATGTGTACACAAAAGAGCTTTATGCGTCGGATTGCATAAATATGAATGTGTCGTTAAACCCGCCACGACCACCCAACACAGCCAATTATTAAGGTTTGTCACGTAAACAAAACAGTAGCCAGTTAGTTACTAGTCCAGCACACCGGTTGTGTGTTGGGAGAGTAAAGCCAAGACAAATTTGACATATTCGAGTGCCGTGATGTTTCGCCGGAAATTACAGCAGCCAGCATCATCAGGCGACAGCCACAATTGTGGAGAAATCCACCTCCTGTTTCGGTCTTGAATCGAGGGATAAATGTGATGTCATCACTTGTGAGCAAATCAGAGGGGGGGGGGGGAAGTTAAGGTATTCATATCAATTACAATGGATATCTATTCTAGTCACTAAGTGGCACGTTCTGTTTACGTGACGAACCTTACCAAATGGCTGTGTTAGCTGGTGGCAGGTTTAGCGACGCATTTATATTTACGCGATCTAACCCAACAAAATAACCTGTTGTGGATAATATTGTTAGCGATAGCCCTACTACTACTACGACTACGCGCTAAACTCAGGATGGGTAATCAATTGCTCAAACAATGCCACACGGATGTAAGTGTCACGGCTGCTTTTGCCCGGCTGTTTGCTCAACGCATGACAAGCATCGGTGCCCATCGCCTGACGTTTCTACCGACGCTTTGACACTCAACAACCTTGCCACGGGAGGAAAATTTTTTTCCGCAAACAATAATCGTCGTCGTTGTCGTCATCATCATCGTATTGTAACATTTTTTTTACGTGAGGAAATTAACATCTAAGAACTCTTGTTGATTGGTTACAACTTGTTCATCCAGGAAAGTAATTTATTTAGAACTGAATTTTGTGTTTAGTTTGTTGCCCTCCCCCCGCACCTCCGATTAGCGCAGTTGGCTACGTACGGTGCTAAAGAAGTTCAATTTACATACACGTCCATGATGATGGTGGTGATGTTGAGGAGGGGGTACCTGCATGATGCTATAATTTGTGGCCAGGTCGCTTCTGAAAAAGAGCGATATCGCTCAGTCGGCCTTACCTGGTAAAGTAAACAATAATTTCATCGTTCTCATAGTTTGGTATGCATGAGGTCATGGGTTCGAGCCAACCCTGACGCCTGCTGCACATTTGTAGTTTGCGTGTCTCTCTCTCTCCCCGTGGTCGCGTGGATTTATCTCCGGGTCCTCCGGTTTTCCCCTACACATTTAGAATCAACGTCACGCTTTTAGAATATTTGGCTGCTACAAACTTTCACACAGTAAGCCACTTGGATGAACAATCATTTGTGATAGCCAGGTCGCTACTGAAAAGAACTGCATAGCTAAGTGGGCCTTACCTGGTGTTTAGTTTAGTGTACTTCACTCATGAAAGTATTTGTCATGTGGGGTGGGGGGGGGGGATGCGGAGTGGTGGCGCTATGGTTAGCGCAACCCGTTCCGTACGAGCCTGGAGATCCGACGCGGCCAACATCGCTAGCGAGAATCACAATTTATTACTGGAGGAGAAATCCGATGAGCTGTGATGCTTTTTATCACCGATTTTCCAGTAGCGGCATGGGGTCAGGACGTGACAGCAACAAACACCAAACAGACCGCACGCTCCCCTTCTTCTCCTGTCGAGCAGAGGCTGCCGGCAGAGGCGGGGAAGACGCTCCACCGGAGCCTCGCGGCGACCACAGAGACCCACCAGAGGTACAAAGAGCTTCCGAGCTCTGCCATAGGAACGTGGAATTTCCATCGCCAACAACAAGGGGCTGCCGACTGGACGATGAGCGCCACGTGGTCCCTGCTTAGTGGCGTGTTTGCCTCACAGAGGATTGTTGTATCCTGGCACGCGTGATAGCAGCAGCAGAAGCAGCGATGTGGTTCCAATGTCGAGGTCTCTATGAGCCTCTTTGTGTCTCTGTGTCTTTATCGGTCTTGATGTATCTCTGTGTCATTATGGGTCTCTGTGAGTCTCTGTATCTCGATGTAGCTCTGTCTTTATAGGTCTCTATATCTCCGTTATGGGTCTCTATGAGTCTGTGTATCTCTATGTATCTCTGTGTTTTTATAGGTTTCTATGTATGTGTCTATTGGTGTCTCCATGTATCTTTCGAGTCTCAGTGGGTTAAACTATGTGGTCCATCGCGTGCGTTGCGTGGCCATCCAGGCGAAATTGATGTCGTTGATTTGAACCGAGGCATTTATCTCGTGTCATACTTTGAGTAAATAGTGTAATGTTAAAATACGTAGAGATTAATGCCTGGGGGTCAGTGGGTTGGAGATTACAAATAACATTCTGACCCATTGAGTGCATGTGCACGTGCTCGTTAAAGAGTGGAATGGGGGTAAGCAACTTGGCGGTTGGGATCAGGAGGCGGAGGAGGTAGTGATGGGTGGGACACGTGGTGAGGAGGGCGGGGGAGGAGGTAGTGATGGGTGGGACACGTGGTGAGGAGGGTGGGGGAAGAGGTGGTGATGGGTGGGACACGTGGTGAGGAGGGTGGGGGAAGAGGTAGTGATGGGTGGGACACGTGGTGAGGAGGGTGAGGGAGGAGGTAGTGATGGGTGGGACACGTGGTGAGGAGGGTGGGGGAGGAGGTAGTGATGGGTGGGACACGTGGTGACCAGGGTGGGGGAGGAGGTGGTGATGGGTGGGACACGTGGTGAGGAGGGTGGGGGAAGAGGTAGTGATGGGTGGGACACGTGGTGAGGAGGGTGAGGAAGGAGGTGGTGATGGGTGGGACACGTGGTGAGGAGGGTGAGGGAGGAGGTAGTGATGGGTGGGACACGTGGTGAGGAGGGTGGGGGAGGAGGTGGTGATGGGTGGGACACGTGGTGAGGAGGGTGGGGGAGGAGGTAGTGATGGGTGGGACACGTGGTGAGGAGGGTGAGGGAGAAGGTAGTGATGGGTGGGACACGTGGTGACCAGGGTGGGGAGGAGGAGGTGATGGGTGGGACACGTGGTGACCAAGGTGGGGAGGAGGTGGTGATGGGTGGGACACGTGGTGACCAGGGTGGGGGAGGAGGTAGTGATGGGTGGGACACGTGGTGAGGAGGGTGGGGGAGGAGGTAGTGATGGGTGGGACACGTAGTGACCAGGGTGAGGGAGGAGGAGGTGATGGGTGGGACACGTGGTGACCAGGGTGGGGAGGAGGTGGTGATGGGTGGGACACGTGGTGACCAGGGTGGGGGAGGTGGTAGTGATGGGTGGGACACGTGGTGAGGAGGGTGGGGGAGGAGGTAATGATGGGTGGGACACGTGGTGAGGAGGGTGGGGAAGAGGTAGTGATGGGTGGGACACGTGGTGACCAGGGTGAGGGAGGAGGAGGTGATGGGTGGGACACGTGGTGACCAGGGTGGGGGAGGAGGTAGTGATGGGTGGGACACGTGGTGACCAGGGTGGGGGAGGAGGTAGTGATGGGTGGGACACGTGGTGAGGAGGGTGGGGGAGGAGGTAGTGATGGGTGGGACACGTGGTGAGGAGGGTGAGGGAGAAGGTAGTGATGGGTGGGACACGTGGTGACCAGGTTGAGGGAGGAGGTAGTGATGGGTGGGACACGTGGTGAGGAGGGTGGGGGAGGAGGTAGTGATGGGTGGGACACGTGGTGAGGAGGGTGAGGGAGAAGGTAGTGATGGGTGGGACACGTGGTGACCAGGGTGGGGAGGAGGAGGTGATGGGTGGGACACGTGGTGACCAAGGTGAGGGAGGAGGAAGTGATGGGTGGGACACGTGGTGACCAGGGTGGGGGAGGAGGTAGTGATGGGTGGGACACGTGGTGAGGAGGGTGGGGGAGGAGGCAGTGATGGGTGGGACACGTAGTGACCAGGGTGAGGGAGGAGGAGGTGATGGGTGGGACACGTGGTGACCAGGGTGGGGAGGAGGTGGTGATGGGTGGGACACGTGGTGACCAGGGTGGGGGAGGTGGTAGTGATGGGTGGGACACGTGGTGAGGAGGGTGGGGGAGGAGGTAGTGATGGGTGGGACACGTAGTGACCAGGGTGAGGGAGGAGGAGGTGATGGGTGGGACACGTGGTGACCAGGGTGAGGGAGGAGGAGGTGATGGGTGGGACACGTGGTGACCAGGGTGGGGGAGGTGGTAGTGATGGGTGGGACACGTGGTGAGGAGGGTGGGGGAGGAGGTAATGATGGGTGGGACACGTGGTGAGGAGGGTGGGGAAGAGGTAGTGATGGGTGGGACACGTGGTGACCAGGGTGGGGAGGAGGTGGTGATGGGTGGGACACGTGGTGACCAGGGTGGGGGAGGTGGTAGTGATGGGTGGGACACGTGGTGAGGAGGGTGGGGGAGGAGGTAATGATGGGTGGGACACGTGGTGAGGAGGGTGGGGAAGAGGTAGTGATGGGTGGGACACGTGGTGACCAGGGTGAGGGAGGAGGTGGTGATGGGTGGGACACGTGGTGAGGAGGGTGGGGAGGAGGTAGTGATGGGTGGGACACGTGGTGACCAGGATGGAGGAGACCAAGTCACCGAGACCGCTATTGCAGTGGCGTGAAGCCAGCCAGTGATGGTAGTGATGATGACGACGATGACGATGTTCATGGTGGTGACGATAATGAGACGGAGTGATCCCGGGAAGACCGTGTTTGCCTGGGAGGAGCATGGCGGAATCGGGCAAAAGGAAGGCAGCGATGGCGACACGTCGCGCTCGGTGTGTTCCTCACGCGCACGTCGCGTGCTCGTGTGTCGGTGTGCAGAGGGAGCAAGCGGTGAAGCTGCCACCCAGCGGAAGTGACGCAGGTTGGCAGCAGCGCACGTCAACACGCGTCACAAAGACCCCCCCCCCCCCCCCATAGAGTCTAAACAGGCTGTTGGGGCAAGTGCTGTTAGCGAGTAGCAGCACATGTGCAGGCCGGAACGGCGCACGAGGGGGTGGGTGGCCAGCACCACACCTGGCCGCCTTTGTCTCCCCAGTGGCGATGTTACATACCACACCAGGTACTCAATTGAGGCTGAGTTGACCTACAAAGACAAAGATCCCCAGTATAGCCTTAACAGACTGTAGAGGCAAGTGCTGTTAGCGAGCACCTATGAAGGCCAGAACGGTACACGAGGGGGTGGGTGGCCAGCACCACGCCCGACCGCCTTTGTCTCCCCAGTGGCGATGTTTATACACCGCACCAGGTACTCATTTGAGGCTGAGTTGACCTACACGCACACACACACACTCATCACCCCACCCCAACGCTCCGAGACACTGGACACCGATTCCATTCATCGTTTTCACGAGCGATGACGTTAGCCTGGCCCCCGGGACTTGTTTGGCCCCAAGCCACTTTCAGACGTCTTTGTGAGGCCAGCATATCACAGCTAAGGCACGGCAAGTATCCAGTGGGAAAAACCCACCACCCGTGCCGTGATGACCCTGGGCTGGCTCGGTTCAGATGTTCCAGTGGAGAAGAAGGGTGGGGGGGTATCCATGCGTCGACCGTGTCCCTCCAGAGGTGCCCGGCACCGGGATGGTTTGCAAAGGAACAAAGTGGGTGCCAGACCCGGGTGCTCAGCTCTTCAAGCGGTGGGGCAAGGACCTCCCGGCGCGGCAGAAGCGCAAGGCGTGTGCCCGCTTCCTCACCTACGGCTACAACGCCTACCTGAGCGACTTGCTGCCCCTCGACCGTGACGTGCCTGACAACCGCCCTCCCGGGTACGCCACTCGGAGTCGCACTCTCGCTCAGCGTCGTCATCATCATCGCTGTCATCATCACCGTCATCATCACCGTCAGCGTCATCATAATCACCATCATCATAATCATCTTCAACATCATAGTCAACATCATCATCGTGTCATCAGCGTCTTCATCAGCATCATCATCATCGTTATTGTCATCAGCATCATCAGCATCACCGTCATCCCCATTATCATCAACCGCCCCACCCAGGTATGCAACTCGGGAGTCACTCATTCATCATCGCCAATATCGTCGCCACCACCATCATCATCGTTAGCGTCGTCATCATCATCGTCATCATCATCGTCATCATGCTCATCATCGCCATTATCGTCACCACCACCATCATGATCATCACACTACCACCATCCACGCCATAATTACCACCACTATCCATGTCATCACCACCACCACCATCATTCACCACCATCATCATTCATCACCATCATCATTCATCACCACCGTCATCACCATCATCATCACCATCATCATTGTCTTCATCATCACTCCCATCATTATCATGAACCGCCCCGTCCCGGGTACACCACCCACAGTCACACTCACCGCCACCATCGGCATCACCACCATCAGCACCATCATAATTATTGTAATCATCGTCATCATAACGGCCACTATCATCATTCACCACCACCATCATCATCTTCATCATCAACCACCCTCGCGAGTATGCTACTCAGAGTCACCGTCGCTCATCACCGTCATCACCGTAATCACCGTCATCATCGTCACCACTATCGTCGCCACCACCATCATCATCGTTAGCGTCGTCATCATCATCGTCATCATCATCGTCATCATGCTCATCATCGCCATTATCGTCACCACCACCATCATGATCATCACACTACCACCATCCACGCCATAATTACCACCACTATCCATGTCATCACCACCACCACCATCATTCACCACCATCATCATTCATCACCATCATCATTCATCACCACCGTCATCACCATCATCATCACCATCATCATTGTCTTCATCATCACTCCCATCATTATCATGAACCGCCCCGTCCCGGGTACACCACCCACAGTCACACTCACCGCCACCATCGGCATCACCACCATCAGCACCATCATAATTATTGTAATCATCGTCATCATAACGGCCACTATCATCATTCACCACCACCATCATCATCTTCATCATCAACCACCCTCGCGAGTATGCTACTCAGAGTCACCGTCGCTCATCACCGTCATCACCGTAATCACCGTCATCATCGTCACCACTATCGTCATCATCGCCATAATCATCACCACCATCACAACCACCATCATCGTCGTCAACATCACCATCACCACCATCATCATCATCATCATCGCCACCATCACCACCACCCCCCCCCCCCCCCCCCGCCAAGTGCGCGACTCACTCATAGAGAGTTAAACTCATTTCTCGTCATCATTGTCATCATCGTCATCGCAGTGCCGGCCAGCTGAGCGTGAGTGCGAGCGTGCCTCGTCACTGGTGGACTAAGGCCTTCCCACGTCATGCGTTGTCACGGGGGTCGTTTGACCATACTTCCCCTCTCCTGCGCCCCCCCCCCCCAGCTGCAGCTCCAAGTGGTACCCGTCGGAGCTCCCGGCGCTCAGCGTGGTGCTGATCTTCTACAACGAGGCCGTCTCCATCCTGCTGCGCGCCGTCACCTCCGCCGTGCGCAACACGCCGCACCACCTCCTCAACGAGGTCATCCTCGTCGACGACTGCAGCGACTACCGTGCGTCGTCGCACACCCCTCCACCCCCCCCCCCCCCCCCACAACAACAAGGGAATGTCCGACGTTTCGCCCCGCATGCCACTCAACCTCCTTAAGCTGCTCCTTCACCACCTCCTCCTTCACCACCTCAACCTCCTACTCCTCATTCCTCCACTTCTACCTCCTCCTCTCCGTGCAGGGGACCTGCAGGAGAATTTCGCTTTGCGAATCCAGATGATTGACCGCAAGTACGAGCACGTGTCCATCCGCCTCGTCCGGCACGTGACCCGCAGGGGCCTCAGCGCGTCGCGCGTCACCGGCATCCGGGCCGCTTCAGGGCCCGTGGTGGCCGTCATGGACGCCCACGTGGAGTTCCCCGTCGGATGGTGAGTCCCAAACTCTCTCTAGCTGCTGAGTCCCAAACTCTCTGAGTCCCAAACTCTCTGAGTCCCAAACTCTCTCTAGCTGCTGAGTCCCAAACTCTTGAGCAAAACTCTTGGACCGTTTTTGACATCCAGTGTTTCATCAGCAGAGCGCGGCTCGCTTGCAACATTGCTGGTGAACTGGGTCCTAGCTCGACGATTTTTACCAATTAAATAAGTTCCTTGGTCCTCTTCCTTGAGGGCCACCGGTGGTCCACTGGGAACCGCCACCATATAGAAAGGGAATTTAATATTTTGACTGACGCGCATGTGTGTGCGTGTGTGCGTGTGTGTGCGTGTGCGTGTGTGCGTGTGTGTGCGCGTGTGTGCGTGTGGTGTGTGCGTGTGTGTGCGTGTGTGTGCATGTGTGCGCATGTGTGCGCGCGTGTGTGCATGTGTGCGCGTGTGTGCGCGCGTGTGTGTGTGCGTGTGTGTGTGTGCGTGTGTGTGTGTGCGTGTGTGTGTGTGCGTGTGTGTGTGCGTGTGTGTGTGTGCGTGTGTGTGTGTGCGTGTGTGTGCTGCTACTCGCTAACAGCACTTGCCCCAACAGTTGGTTGAGGCTATCCAGGGGGATCTTTGTATTTGCTGTATGGGCAAAGACAAAGATTGATTGAAAACTAATTGCTATAGAACTGCTGTTTGCGTTTAGTTTGTTGTCCTTCCCCCACGCACCTCCGATTGGCACGATTGGCTACGTACGGCGGTGAGACAGACATGGGCAGCTTCGGGGAGTGGTAGCGCAGCAGTTAGCAGCTCGCTACGAACCCGGCGACCCGAGTTCGATTCTCGCTCACGGTCGCGAGATCGGTGGCGATGATCTGAACCGGTCTCGGTAACTTCTCCCCAAGATACCCGACTCCCTTCATCGCTCTTCCACTTGGGCCTCCCGTCATTTGAAATCTTTCCCCGGCCCCCCGACCACCACCCCCCTCTGCCTTCCCACCCCGCAGGGCCGAGCCCCTCCTGGCGCGTATCCAGGAGGAGCGCCGGGTCGTGGTGTCCACGGTGTTTGACAAGACGCACCACGACACGCTGGCGGTGCAGCGCTACCCCCTCAACCAGCACGTCTTCAACTGGGAGCTCGCCTGCTCCTACCACCCCCCGCCCAGGCAGTGGTTCCGGGACGGAGACATCACGGCCCCCATCAGGTGACGCTGCTGATGCCTCATTCACCCCCCCCCCCCTCTGCGGGGGAGGGGTGGGGGGTTCATCTCCAATGGCAGTGGGGAGAGGCGGTAGTGGAGCGTGTTTTTCGATTATTTGCTCGCTATGAATTTCCACGCGATGACAAGAAGCCACTTTGCTGAGCTCCCGCTTGTGGTGGGCACGTCTCCCTCTGGAGAAATAAGTGAACAGCTCAATTGGGCTCTACCTCGTAAGATAAAAAAAAGTAGATTTTTTATTTACATATCTTTTTAAGTGATTTGTTTACCTTTCCTATACCTTACGTGTTTAGTATTGTTTGTTGTGACGTTCTGAGCCGTCTGTGGTGTGGACCAATCAGTCTTTAAAGAAAGCTGTCTCTGGTGTGGACCAATCAGTTTCAAGGACGATGCATATAATATCAGAGTATGTTTTTTGTTTGCATTCTGACCACAAGCATTGTGGTTAACGCAGACATGATTCCTTGTTAAAGGTTTCAGTTTGTTGTTTTAACATCTTCACGCAACTGTTTTGTTGCCTCAAAAAAGGGGAAAACCCTATTATCGTATTTTGTAACTGGCAAAGGAGGTCCCATGATGCAGACCCCATGGTTGGATGACTGCTTCTCGCTCACGGCACTTGCCCCTACAGTCTGTTAAGGCTATACGGGGAGGGATCTTTGTCTGTTGTGTTGTTTGTTTGTGGATAGGAGCGCAATCGTGATGGGCTGCATGGCGGCCAGCAAGAGCTACCTGGAGGAGATCGGCTTTCTGGATGAAGGCATGCAGGTGTACGGAGGGGAGAACGTGGAACTGGGCCTCAGGGTGAGGACGCACAGACACAACCTTGAACGCACCCACCCACCCACTCACTGTGTGTGCCATATATATGTAATTACACGCTGGAGACGGCTTGTAGAATCGGTCCTTTTATTTAACTTCTTGCAGTTCACAAACACTCCCCGTTGCTGGCAGGCAACGGGAAGCGGGCAGACAGCCACCAGAGGCCCACCGCCACGTGGCACCCGGAGCCCCACTCGCGCGTGGTCCCTCTCTCTCTTAGTTCCGTGTCTGACCCCGTGTCTCTCCTCTCTCACCTTATTTAATGCCTGGGTCACGTGGTACACTCCAGCCAATCCCCTCAATAGCCTGCGCCGAATATTCCAGATCCCCCATCAACTCCCGGGACCACGCCCCTGACTTGTCTTCCCATTGGTTGAGGCCAAGACCAGCGAAACCAATCACCTAGCTGACATCCCCTGATCACGCCGAGGCCATGCTCCCAGGCTCTCCCCCCATTGGCTGTAGCGGGACCGGCAAAGCCGATCACCACGTGAATCTGACATAGGCTCTTATTACATATGTAGAGGTGTAATTGCGCATGGCTACGAATGTTGAGGTGTGATTATGCATGGCCACGGATGGCCAACAAACACAAGGGGCGGGGTTACGGCCGTACACAAGGGTGGCGCTCGCACCGACGTCCGCATGTGTATCCCCCACGGGCCCCCCCTCGGGGGCGAGTCCTATAAAAGGTGATGAGCTCGAGGGCTCGAGGTCGGGACTCAGCTTTAACCAGAGAAGACGGAAGACCAGCTAGTGTAGGCCCCAGAGCTCCCCTGGCTCGCTGTCCTTATAAGGGCCGACCAGGGCAAGCCGGTGGCGTGGCCCCGAGAGCCCAGACGAAGCTGGTCTGGTGACTCAGGGAGCCGGGATCCCAGCTTAACCAAGCTGGGACAGATAGCCTCCCCTAGTCCCGTAGTGGAGGAATTGGTATAGGTTAGAGGGGTTAGCTGTCGAGAATCCCTGTAGCCAAGTGACCTGTAATAACTGTGTTGGTGTAATAAATAAGTGTGCCTCCGATCCTGTCGTCAAGCCTCCATATATATACTTACTACACATATACATCGACCGGCATGGGTGTTTTGAGTTCACTGCGCGGCCCCCGCCTGCCTTGTTCAGAGTGGACGGTGAGAGTGGCCGGGCTATTGGTGACCAGCCCCACCTCACCCCCCCCCATTCCCCCCCCCCCCTCGTGTCCAGGTGTGGCAGTGCGGGGGCCGCGTGGAGGTGCTGCCCTGCTCTCGCTTGGCTCACATCGAGCGCTACTTCAAGCCGTACGCACCGGACCTGCGCGTCCACATGCGCAGGAACGCGCTGCGCGTGGCCGAGATCTGGATGGACGACTTCAAGAAGAATGTCTACATGGCCTGGAATGTGCCCATGAACGTACGTGCAGCACATGCATGCATATTCATGTAGACATAATGTATATTCACGTGGACGTAATGCATATTCATGTAGACGTAATGTATATTCATGTGGACGTAATGCGTATCCATATAGACGTAATGCATATCCATGTAGACGTAATGTATATTCATGTAGATGTAATGTATATTCATGTGAACGTAATGCATATTCATGTTGATGTAATGTATATTCATGTGGACGCAATGCATATTCATGTCGACGTAATGCATATTCATGTAGGCGTAATGCATATTCATGTAGACGTAATGCAAATTCATGTAGATGTAATGTATATTCATGTGGACGCAATGCATATTCATGTAGATGTAATGTATATTCATGTAGATGTAATGTATATTCATGTGGACGCAATGCATATTCATGTAGACGTAATGCATATTCATGTAAGCGTAATGCATATTCATGTAGACGCAATGTATATTCATGTAGACGTAATGCATATTCATGTAGACGTAATGCATATTCATGTAGACGTAATGCATATTCATGTAGACGTAATGCATATTCATGTAGACGTAATGCATATTCATGTAGACGTAATGCATATTCATGTAGACGTAATGCATATTCATGTAGACGTAATGTTTATTCATGTAGACGTAATGCATATTCATGTAGACGTAATGCATAATCATGTTACCGTGATGCACATTCACGTAGACTTGATGCATATTCAGTCCCCAAAAGTCGAGTCGCCACCCCCGATTACTTCTCAGTAAACATGGAACCTTGGTTCTAGCTTTGAAGCTTTCGTGACTGCAAGGATTCATATTCTTAGGTTTTATCGGTAAAGTCACGTAGGTGAAAAATTAAAATTAATAAAAGTAAAATTAAAATAAAATAAAAATCATGACTGTTTCGGAGGCAACACAAGCTTCCGTCTTCAGGTGGAACCGTCACAGCACGATAGCTGTATCAGCTATCGAACGTCGTGATTTTTATTTTATTTTTATTTTACTTTTATTAATTTTAATTTTTTCACCTACGTGACTTTACCGAAAAAACCTAAGAATATGGAACCTTGGCCCAACATTGAGGCAACGTTGTTCCAACATCGGTCGAACATTGCCCCAACGTCGGTGCAACGTTGGCCCATTCACTGGGTGTGCAACTCTCGTCTCGTTGACGACCCCTGCGCAGGGCTCTGGGATAGACATTGGCGACGTCTCCCAGCGGGTTACCGCCCTGATTACTTCCCATGGAACACGGAACCTTCGTGCAACTTTGCCCCAAGGTTGGTCGAACGTTGCCCCAACATTTGTCTCTCGTTGGTGTCACCGCGCAGGGCTCCGGGATCGACATCGGCGACATCTCGGAGCGCGTGGCTCTGCGCAATCGGCTCAACTGCAAGAGCTTCGCGTGGTACCTGGAGAACGTGCTGCCCTCACTGCCACGGTACCACGACATCGTGCAGTACGGCGTGGTGAGTATGCGGTACAGAGTGGTGAGTATCTGGTACGGAGTGGTGAGTATCCGGTACGGAGTGGTGAGTATCCGGTACGGAGTGGTGAGTATCCGGTATGGCATGGTGAGCTCCAGCGCCTGCAGGCACCTTTGCCGCCCGTAGGAATGGTGCCTATCGAATTTCCGCGGGGACATTCACCACAACGGCGCTTCATCATTGTGTAGTGGGTTCGAATTATGTGCACACACACGCAGCTTGGAGGCAACACTATTTATTTAACGGTAAGTAACATAACGCTGTACATGAGGTGGTGACCACCTTCCTCAACTCACTAACACTCTGGAACGCGACACAGACTGGACCAGGCAGGCAATGGCCTGCCTGGCCCAGGACGACGACTCGGGACTTGACGACCGATGATGTCTTCACTTCGGAGTACAGTACAACAGCCTCGCTCTGCGTTCACACCACGCTTATATCTGCTTTGGCGTGGCCGGCTCCGCCCAGGCGTGGCTGGCTCTGTCCAGGCCACGCCTCCCTTCCCAGGCCACGCCTCCCTTCCCCCACCTCTGGGAAGGTCCGGATCCCTCCACCACGTGACCCCCCAGGCACCCCCTTGGGGCCCCAGCCCTCGTACGGGCCGACACAGTAGTGACCGTTCTATGTCACTACAATTGTTATGGAGTTTTGTATCGAACCAGGACCGATGGTTAACAGAGAGAGAGCCCTCGCCTATAAACATCTGGCAAGTTCAGCATTAGTGATTTGTAAGTCTGTGGGAATCTGAGTCTATGGCTGTCTACGATGGACCTACGATGTCTGACGTTTCACCCCCACGTGCCTGGGAGTTTCTGCAGGACCTGGCGTAGATATTGAAATGGGTCACGGCATGGACATTATCCTGCGTGTTTGTTGTTGTTCAGTTCAAAAACAGCATCAGGAGCGACCTCTGCTTGGATCACGGAAACCCAATTGACAAGCACCCCCTCCTGTACGACTGCCACGGAGAGCGTCCACAGGTACTGTACCGCTACGGTCCGATCCAATTGGCGCTACGGTGGCGAGGAGATGTGAACTCCCTCGCCTGGTATACAGGAGGTCGCGGGTTCGATCCCGACCCTGATGCCTGCTGTGTATTTGGAGTTTGGTGTCTCTTTCTCTCTCTCCGTGGTCTCATGGATTTTTCTCCAGGTCCTCCGGCTTTTCCCCTCCACATTTCGAATCAACGTCACCCGTTTAGAGTATTTGGATACTGCTATAACTTTCCACACGATGATGATGAGCCACTTCGTTGAGGCTTTCATTTGTGATGGCTTTGTCGCTTCTGAAAAACAGCTACATAGCTCAGTGGGGCCTTACCTGGTTAAATAAAAAAAATACCCCCCCCCCCCCATCAGCCCCCTCCCATTCATCTCTGACGTTCTTGCCTACAGCTGGCGATGAGGACGTCGGCCGACAAGATCGTCGTGGGGCTGTACGCGGACCTGCTCGACCAGGTGACCACGTGCGTGGGCATGACCCCCTCGGGCGGGGGCAGCCCGGCCCTGGTCAGCTGCATGGCCCCGCCGGACGACGAGCGCTTCCTCACCTTCAAGGTGAGCCGCGGACTGATGACGACGACGTAGCGGTGCGACATGACGTGACTTATTTCAGGGTGACTCCGTTGCACGCGGAGGAGTTTTCTTTTGCCCATCCAACCTCCACAGGCACCGTTGTTCAGGGTTCGTTCATCGGTTGTTCAGGAGTGGCACTGCGGTGGCTAGGAGATGTGAACTTCCTCGCCTGGTATGAAGGAGGTCGTGGGTTGGATCCCAACCTATTGTATATTTGGAGTTTGCGTGTCTCTCTCCCCGTGGTCGCGTGGATTTTTCTCCGGGTCCTCCGGTTTTTCCCTCGACATCACCACGCGTTTTTTAGAGCACTATAAATGTCCACGTGATGATGATAAGCCACTTCGTTGAGCTACCCTTGACCTCGAAGGGCAAGGAGTTGCACAGGTTAGGTGTCCCAATTGCAAAGGCACCATCACCACCCTCCAAGTGTAAAGCCTCGAGACCGTGGTGACAGTGAGCAATGCACAATCCGAGGATCTTGATGATCTCGATGGATTATTCGTGACTGAAGGAGGTTATGAATGTAGGGGAGGAGACCAAGTCCATTAAAGGCCTTGAATACCAGCAAGAGAATCTCAAAATCAATACGGGTACAGACAAGCAGCCAGTGAAGGGACAGGAGCCCAGGTGTGTGATGTGGGATCCTTAAAGGGTTGTCCACAGTCTACCAGGCGAGGTGGGTGAACACCTCCGAGCCACAGTGTCTCTCAGCCGCAGACCGGCGAAATGAAGACCAAGGATGGCACCCGGTGCCTGGAGGCGCTGGAGGCTCGGGAGAACCAAGTGGAGCTCGTTCTGCGTGCCTGCAGCGGCCAGAAGTGGCACTTCGAGTACTTCAAACCCATCAGCAGCCCGCCATGAAGCCCACGGAGCGCCGTGGTGACGGCTGCTGCTGCTGCCGCTTGCCGGGAAACCGCGGCCACTTGCAATCGCGTCGGTTTGCCGGTTCTGTCTCCAGGGGGTTTGGTACGAGGACACCAGCAAATCGGGGTTACGGTATTTAAACTAAACTCTTCTTTATTTTACCAGGTAAGGGCCACTCAGCTATGCAGCTCTTTTTCAGAAGTGACCTGGCGATCACGAATGATAGCTCAACGAAGTGGCTTATCATCGTCATCGTGTGGACATTGATAGGAGCAGCCACATACTCTTAAACGCACGATGTTGATTCTAAATGTGGAGGGAAAAACGGAGGGACCTGGAGAAAGAGCCACATGACCACGGGGAGAAAATGAAAATTCCTAATATACATGGGTAAAGGGGCATAGGGATCAAACCCACGACTTCCCGTATTACAGGCGAGGTCGTTAGCATCTCCTAGCGCCTGCAGCAGCACCACCCTTGAGTGTTGCCCGTGGCACCGGGGGACACCAGAGGCAGGAAGGAGCCCGTCGAGTGATCGCCGGCGTAGAACAAGAAACTTTACAACGCCGTCTAGGATTTCGTCACCAATGTTAGCCATAGAAGTTTTTCGGTTGAATCGCATGAATATCAAGGGTGGCACAGTCGGGTTTTTTACAATCGGGTTTAATTGTCTTTTTATATTAAACCCGATCATCTGAGATTGGGAGAAATCCGGTTTAATTGGTTCTAATTGCAGAACCGCACTTCGCCAACTTTTCAACGATGGGCTTCATCCATTCCAAGCTAAAGAACTCACCGGCGCCCACGATTGTGGAGAAGCTCGTGTTCATCAAGACCAACCTGCCCGCCGCATTCTACGACTACCCCGTGCCCGACGGCCCCGAGTACGATAGCAGCACCGAAGAGGAAGCAGCCTAAGCCTTGGATCAGAGTTTCGTATTCATTAAACCAGGTTTTAATTCCCCGAAATCTGGTTTAATTGGATTAAAGAAAAAACCCGATGCCTGCCGCTGGAAAAATCGGGTTTTTACCACCCATGATGAATATAAATGTCTTTAAACCCGCCACCACCTGACACAGCCAATTAGTAAGGTTTGTCACGTACACAGAACGTGCCAATTCGTTACGAGTTCAGCACACACTGGTTGTGTTGGAGAGTAAACCCACAACATTCACAACTCGATTAGCATCATCATCAGGCAGACCGCCAGAGTTTATTTAACATAAAGCAACTTTATTGAACATTTTCACAGCTGTAACTTATGACAAGGCTCTCCGTCCCGTCTCACTCGACGACGCCGTGCAAAAACAACAAATTGTTTACAAAAACTAAATTCCTTCAAGGTGTGGGTTGTGGGAGGGTTGGCGGTGGAGTTCTGCTCGGGGCTGAACAACACCACGACGCAGAGTCGCAATACAACTCAGCACTCCATCTCTGCAGAGGTGGGTGGGTGATGCACAGCCCCACTTCAGGGCTCATGGGGGGGGTGGGGGGAAGAGGTTGCAAGGGGGGGGCTGGGGGGGTCACTGGGGGGGGGGGGTCACTGGTACAAAAACGATTCCGTGATCTTAACCTCAAAGAAATTTGGCAAAATTGAAAATCTCTCCATGTACACCACGTGTGTGTGTGTGAGAGATGTATGTACAACATCCAGACGGTTTGTCTTGAACTAAAATACAATCAAACGTGCAAGCGGCGTTGGTGCAGGTTTAGCGGAACGGTTTAGACCGGGGGGGGAGGGAGAGGGGGGGTCAACCAATTACATTAAAAAAAGCGACCTATTTCAAGAGCTGCAATGCGATGTCGTGAATACTGGAGACCACAGGCATGAAGAAGGTTGCTGAGCAGTCACTTAGGAGCTGCCCACCCCTCATTTTAGAGGCTGAGGGTGGGGGTCAAGGGACTCGCTGCTCTCTGCTGGACGCTCAGCGGTGCTGCCTCAAGGCGTATGGCAAGAGGGGCGTTTGCCGTGCGATCCGTTGGCACACCCTCGCTACGATCCGTGACCTTTCCGTGCCTCAATGCGTAGTGGAAACCCACATCGCCAGTTGGCACGTTTGTTTTTCTGGCGATGTTACCCAACCATCTGGGTAGGCGTCTGCAAGGCCAGACTTTGGTGGGATGATTGTTATTGTGATGATTATGGTTACTGTGGTAATGATGAAGATGGTCATGATGGCTATTGTGACAATTAACGTGACGATGGTTATTGCGGTGGTGGTGATATCGGTCGCTGTATTCGTCTGTCCATATAAAGCTCGGCAAAGTCTCAACTCGTCGATCGACGTTCTGTGTCGCCCTGCCTCGACAAACATCACCCGCCACTCAGGCCCACAGCCCTCTCATGCCACGTGGAATCGATGGCGGGACCACCACCACCGCCGTCACCACCACCGCTGATCGCCGTATCTGTGCTGGTGTAACCACCGTGCACCGCTGCTGGGTGGCACAGAGGTGGCCGGAAGTTGCCGCATTCAAGTTGAGACCGCCGCTTTGACTGCCGGGGAGAGGTGGAATCGAATCGGCGCCCCTCTCCTCTCCGTATTGCCGGTCGCAGCGCCGTGACACCACCGCCAGGGCACTGTGGACACAGCTCCACGGAGTTTGATTAACACTGAGAGGTAATGGATGTGTTGGCCACCAAATGCTGAGTGGTCACCCTTTGGAGCCCCGGGTCCAAAAAAATCACTTGTAACCAACGCGTGCGTGCGTGCACGGTTTAACTTCTTCCACCGCCGTAACGTAGCCAACCGCGCTTTACCCAAGGTTCGAAACGCAACCCCCTCCCCCCCTCTAACACTCAATGGCAACAACAAAAACCCCATCGTCCCAAACCTGAGCACCTCCCCCCCATCTCCCAAACACATGTACGTGGGTTGCAACTCCTTAGAACGGCGTAAGACTTGCGATGCGGACCCACACGCACGCCGCAACCAAAACCATCGACTCGTCTCCCAAGGGTTAAACTGTTTAACGCGTAGGAGCAGTCGTAGGGCTTTTGCGACCAATGTTCCCACAGAGGTGTTTTAAAAGCGTTAGATGGCGTAAATATAAACGCGTCGTTAAACCGGCCAACACCGCCCGACACAGGGTTTTTCACGTAAACAGAACGTGTTGATTAGTTCTGCACTAACCAGTTGTGTTGGAGAGTACACCCACAACATTTGCAATGCGAGTACCATGACGCTTCACCGGTAATTACATCATCCAGCATCATCAGGAGACAGCCACAATTCTGTCTGTCGCGTGAGGAGGCTGCTGGCGTGTGCTCAACTCGTCACTAATTGCCACGTTTTGTTTTCTTGACAAACTCTTTACTGGTAATTGGCCGCGTCGGCTGGTGGTGGCGGGTTTAAACGACATTTATAACCCACCAAAAAAAAACCTCGTGGATAAACAAAACTAACTTCACAATAACTCAACCCCCCCCCCCCCCGCTTCCCCGTGTAGTGCATGAGATCGCAGGCGCGGCCCAACGCGGCCGCAAGCGTGCAGAGAGCCGTGATCAGTCGTCACAGCGACCTCGAGATCCCCTCTCCAGCGCAAAGCAGTCGCGGGAGAATTGGGACGGGCACCACGGTGGCCATGAGATGTTAACTACCTCGCCTGGCATGCAGGAGGTCGTGGTTTTGATCCCGACCCTGACGCCTGCTCTATATTTGGAGGTTGCGGTGCTATAAATCTGCACGTGGTGATGACGACGATGATGACTGAGCTATCATTCGTGACGGCCAGGTCGCTTCTGAAAAAGAGCTCAATAGCTCAGCGGGCCTTCACCTGGTAAAATAATAAAAATTGTTGAGTTTAGGTTTCGACCGAGCAATGTTGCTGGAGCAGCCGATTGCTCACGTGCAGTGTGATGTAATACAATGCATCACCATGCAATGCGGTACAATACAATGCGGTAAAATCCAATGCAGTATGGTACAATGCGATGTGATACAATACAAAGCATGACATTGCAATGTATTACAATATAATACGATGTGATACAATACAATGTATAACAACATGATGGTGATACAATGCAATGTCTGACAATGTAATGCGATATAATATAATACGATATGATACAATGTAATGCGATACAATATAATACGATGTGATACAATGCGATGCAATGCAAGGCGGTTTAAAACAGCGAATAGAACGCAAGCCCATCTCAAGCCGCTGAACAAGAGTGGGGGGGGGGGGGGGGGGGGCGAGGGTGCGCGGGGCCCTGTAATCGTGGAGTTAACTTGGTAACGACGTCATTGTAGCGGGCACTGGGGTAGGAGGATCATCGGTGGAGAGGGTGGCTCAGAGTTCACAGGTCACGGGGTCAGGGTGGCAGGTCAGGGTTTCGTAGACTCGCACGGAGACCCACAGGCTCAGACAGAGCCAGAAACTCGCACAGAGACCCACAGACTCAGACAGAGCCAGCAACTCGGACAAGACAGCCAGCGACTTCAGAGCCAGAGAGAGCCATAGACTTACATAGAGAACCAGAGACTCGCACAGACACCCGTAGAGTCACACAGAGACGCACAGAGTCACAGAGACCTATCGACTCGTATTGGTACCCATGAGAGTGAGAGCCATAGATCCGTCTCTGATCGTTCGCATTACTGTGCAAGAGGCAGGGGAGGGGGGGGGATGGGGGGGGGGCATTGGTGAAATGTAACTTGAAATGTCTTAGGGGGTGGGAATGAAACTTAATAATTATTTAGCATCGGTGAAAAGTTGAAATGCGCCGGTTTAAAGTAGCAAAAGAAAAGTCTAAGAAATGAAACTGAAGTGAGGGGAGCACGGCGCCCAACCGCGTTCCGATGATCCGGGCCAGTGGGCCTCCCCTAGGTTGACTCGGCCTCAAAACGTCGTGAGGGGGGGGGGGGGGGGAGACAAAGGCGTGGTGCCGGCCACCCACCCCGCCCGGGCCTCCACAGGCGCCGCGACTCGCGACTCGCTACTCGCGACTCGCTACTCGCTACTTAACAGCCCTTGCCCCTGTTGAGGCTACACGGGGGACCTTTTGTCTGCGCGCGTGCGCGAGACCGGATTTGTTAAAACTTAAAATCGACTCCGTTAGCGGCTCAGGTTGACCAAAGCACCTCCCATGGCCCGCCCAAGTGCAAAGTAAACGCACCCCCAGAGGGCCGTCACGCACCAACCCCCCGCACGCCAACCCCCCACACGCGCGCATGGGGGGCGGTGGCACGGCGTAGCGGGGGGCGGTGGCACGGCGTAGCGGTTGGCGCACCGGGTGCTACGGAGCCCGGCGGCTTGCGGCGTGTAAACGTCGACCGCCGAGGGGAAGGCGGCTGGACCCCGTGCGCCGTGGCGGCCGCGATGGCCGCCGCTTGCTACCGGCGCTCTCCCGGCGGCCTTGCGTGGGCTGTGCCGAGGGGGAGGGGCGAGGGATGTTTATCTTTGCGCGTTTTCTCGGCCGCAGTAGAAAAATAAGGCGTTTAAAAAAAAACGATCAACACTTTCCCACCGAATCATAGTGAGCTCATTGACGAATAACTAATAACTTAGAACGCCAAACGTACGCACAACTTATTTCGCAAACCGTAACGTAGCCGACCGAGGTGCGAAACACAACAACAACACAAAACAAAACAACGCACAATTGTGGCAACACAACAACATCCCTCACCTAACACCCCCAACCCCTCCAACTCCCAAACAGGCGCAGCGTCACAACTCCTCAAATCCGCTGTAAATGCTTGGCCACGTCCGGGGACGCTTTTGTAGATTTTTTAAAATCGACGACGGTACCCAAGGCGGCCACGGCTGGCGGCTGCGGCGGTGCCGCTGCCCACGGCGCAAGCCGGAAGGCGGCTCTCCTCAATCCCCAACGCTGCCCCCGACGCAAAACACAAACTCCGGAGCGACGACAAGCGAGCGTGAATCAGAGCGCGTGCCGCTCACGCTCGTGCCCACTCGTGCCCACTCACGCTCGTGCCCACTCACGCTCGTGCCCGCTCGTGCCCACTCGTGCCCACTCACGACCGCTCGTGCCCGCGAGAGGAGGCCGATCCTCTTGGTATCCTTGACGCCGGCTCCACTGGCACAGGTCGTCGCCGTTCTAACCGTGCCATGCCGCCGACGTCGTGTGCGGCGATGGGGGGGGGGGGGGCGAACGAGCGGAGACGCCCGAAGCGTCGCGACCGGCTTACGCGGCGGATTACGACGGATGAAGAAGAGGAGGAGGAGGAGGTAGGCGGTGGAGAGTGAGGAGGAAGCAGAGGAGGTAGGCGGGGGCGGAGGGGAAGCATCAGACCGCCAGCACCGCCTCCTCCTCGCCCACGTCGTCCACCTCGTCGCGCTCCTTCAGGGAGCTCTTGAGCCGGTTGATCTCAAACTCGTGCAGCAGCCGCTGGGTCAGCAGCTTCTCGCGCTTCATCTTGTCCTTGATGTCCTGCGGCACGTCCGGGATGAGGTACGCGATGAGGAACTTCGCCACGAACACGGCGTGCTGCGGGAGGAGAGGAGAGACACCACGGGGAGGAAGACGGTTATGGGAAGCACGTGGCGATTGTCACGGACACCCGTTCCCCGTACCGCCTCGACACGGTCCCCCGTACCTCCATGACGATGATGAAGGCGAGCTTGGCGGCCAGGATGTGCCAGTAGCGGGTGCTGAACCGGTACCTCTTGGGGTGCTCTGGGGGGTAGCGGAAGTCCCGGTACCTGTGGGGACGGTGAGGAGGCAAGGCACGTGACTCACGGCATCACTGATGATGGTCACTTTGCTGCTGCCGATGATGATTGTTGTGAATATGATTATGCTGCCGATGACAATGCTGCTGCTGATGATGGCAACGCTGCCGATGACAACGCTGCTAATGATGACAATGCTGATGAAGCAGATTATGCTGATGCTGCTAATGACAGTGACGATGCTGCTGACGCTGCCGATTATGACAATGCTGCCAATGATGACCATGTTAATGATGACGCTGCCGATGATGACGATGACAATGCGCTGATGTTGCCGCTGACGAGGACGCCGACCGGCCCGAGCACCTCTCACCGGCAGGTGACGTCGGTGTCATTGCTGAACCAGTAGGGCAGCGCGGCGGCGTCTGGGCGGTTGCGCTCCTGGAAGTCAGCAATGTGAAAGACCGAGAGGCTGTAGTCCACGTAGCCCTCCATCGAGTGCTCCTCCGTGCCATTGAGCAGGCTGTGGTGCGAGTAGTAGTACACGAGCCGGGGCAGCATGTCCGACGTGAAGGCCACGATGATGGCCTAGAGGGTGGGGGGGTGGGGGGCAGAAGCGTCACCGTGGGACGACTCGCGCACTCACTGGCCCACTAGGCCTGCCCTATCCGTACTCTGCTAGTGACTAGACCTGCACCACCTGCACTCTGCTAGTCACTAGGCCTGCACCACCTGCACTCTGCTAGTCATTAGGCCTGCACCACCTGCACTCTGCTAGTCACTAGGCCTGCACCACCTGCACTCTGCTAGTCACTAGGCCTGCACCACCTGCACTCTGCTAGTCACTAGGCCTGCACCACCTGCACTCTGCTAGTCACTAGGCCTGCACCACCTGCACTCTGCTAGTCACTAGGCCTGCACCACCTGCACTCTGCTAGTCACTAGACCTGCACCACCTGCACTCTGCTAGTCACTAGACCTGCACCACCTGCACTCTGCTAGTCACTAGGCCTGCACCACCTGCACTCTGCTAGTCACTAGGCCTGCACCACCTGCACTCTGCTAGTCACTAGGCCTGCACCACCTGCACTCTGCTAGTCACTAGGCCTGCACCACCTGCACTCTGCTAGTCACTAGGCCTGCACCACCTGCACTCTGCTAGTCACTAGGCCTGCACCACCTGCACTCAGCTAGTCACTAGGCCTGCACCACCTGCACTCTGCTAGTCACTAGGCCTGCACCACCTGCACTCCGCTAGTCACTAGGCCTGCACCACCTGCACTCTGCTAGTCACTAGGCCTGCACCACCTGCACTCTGCTAGTCACTAGGCCTGCACCACCTGCACTCTGCTAGTCACTAGGCCTGCACTACCTGCACTCTGCTAGTCACTAGGCCTGCACCACCTGCACTCAGCTAGTCACTAGGCCTGCACCACCTGCACTCTGCTAGTCACTAGGCCTGCACTACCTGCACTCTGCTAGTCACTAGGCCTGCACCACCTGCACTCTGCTAGTCACTAGGCCTGCACCACCTGCACTCTGCTAGTCACTAGGCCTGCACTACCTGCACTCTGCTAGTCACTAGGCCTGCACCACCTGCACTCAGCTAGTCACTAGGCCTGCACCACCTGCACTCAGCTAGTCACTAGGCCTGCACCACCTGCACTCAGCTAGTCACTAGGCCTGCACTACCTGCACTCTGCTAGTCACTAGGCCTGCACCACCTGCACTCCACTAGTCACTAGGCCTGCACCACCTGCACTCAGCTAGTCACTAGGCCTGCACCACCTGCACTCCACTAGTCACTAGGCCTGCACCACCTGCACTCAGCTAGTCACTAGGCCTGCACCACCTGCACTCAGCTAGTCACTAGGCCTGCACCACCTGCACTCTGCTAGTCACTAGGCCTGCACCACCTGCACTCTGCTAGTCACTAGGCCTGCACCACCTGCACTCTGCTAGTCACTAGGCCTGCACCACCTGCACTCTGCTAGTCACTAGACCTGCACCACCTGCACTCTGCTAGTCACTAGGCCTGCACCACCTGCACTCAGCTAGTCACTAGGCCTGCACCACCTGCACTCTGCTAGTCACTAGGCCTGCACCACCTGCACTCTGCTAGTCACTAGGCCTGCACCACCTGCACTCTGCTAGTCACTAGGCCTGCACCACCTGCACTCCACTAGTCACTAGGCCTGCACCACCTGCACTCCACTAGTCACTAGGCCTGCACCACCTGCACCCTGCTAGTCACTAGGCCTGCACCACCTGCACTCAGCTAGTCACTAGGCCTGCACCACCTGCACTCTGCTAGTCACTAGGCCTGCACCACTTGCACGCTGCTAGTCACCAGGGCTGCACCATCCAGTGACGGCAGACTGCAGATCAATCACCGCTCAGCATGCGCACACACACGCTGCATCAAAAGGTTCGCTGTGATTGGTGGGACAGAGAGAGAGAGAGAACTCTTGTCCCTGCATCTCACATTTTTCAGAAGCGACCAGGCTATATCACTAATGATAGTACAACGAAGTGGCTTATCACGTGGAAAATGTATAGCCGCAGCCAAATGCTCAGAACGCACGTCGATTCTAAATGTAGAGGGAAAAACCGGAGGACTCGGAGAAAAGTCCACGTGACCACAGGGAGAGAGACAGACGCGCAAACTCCAAATATACAGCAGGCGTCGGGGTCGCGATGGAACCCGCGACCTCCTGCACACCGGGCGAGATAGTTGACAACGAAGCCACCGGGCGGGTGGCCGTCGTTTCGGGCGAGCGCCCTCCGCACTCACGTTGGTGACGACGGAGAGGATGGCGATGGAGGAGAGGATCTGCTGCCAGACGCCGATGTTGCGGGCGTGCGACGGCGTGGGCCGACGGAACTGGGTGGTGAACTTCCAGGCGTCCACGCGGATCTCGATGATGTTGTTGAGGAGCGCGAGCAGCGGCGCCAGCGGGAAGGAGACCACGAAGAGCGTCGTGAAGCCGAACTGCACGACTGGGACACGGGGCGCCGGGGGGGGGGGGGGGGGCGGCACGCCTGCGGTTAGCGCGGCGGGCCACGTGCGGTGTTCAACACACGTACGGGCGCGATGATGGCGATGGTGATGATGTTGGTAGAGGTGGTGGTGGTGATGTTGAGGAGGTACCTGCATGATGCGGAAGTGGGGGATGTTAACGTAGATGGAACGCTGTTTCTTCCACTGGGAGCTCCGCACTTTTAAATCATCTTCTAGATTAACAAACTAATTTCTGGAGAACTGATTTTTGTGTTTAGTTTGTTGTCCATCCCCCGCACCTCCGATGAGCACAACATGCATACAAAGGTTCCCTCCCACCCCCCCGTGATATGTTTAACGACAAGTCCAGCACATACACAGACGTCGGTACCAACAGCGGCAACGGTGCTGCCCATGGCGCAAACCACCAACACCAGCCGCTTCCCCAACGAGGAGGTGTGTGCGTGTGTATGTGTGTGTGTATGTGTGTGTGTGTGCATTTGTGTGTGCATGTGTGTGTGTATTTGTGGGTGTATGTGTGTGTGTGTATTTGTGTGTGTGTGTGCGTCCCGTGACCTGCCAGCGAGCGTAGCCTTAAAGTACATTTGGCCTGGCACAAGCGCCGTGGTGACGTCATCGCCACCTAGTGGCGAATAGCGGTTGTTGTTGTTGTGTGTGGGGAGCGGTCGTGTAGCAGTTAGCGCTACGCTGCGCTACCAACCCGGCGACCCGGGTTCGATTCCCGCTCACGGCCAACACCGGTGACGATTATTTGAACCGGTCCTGGGCCTTCCCTGGGTCGAATCAGACTCAAATGAGTACCTGGTGCGGTGTGTAAACATCGCCACTGGGGAGACAAAGGCGGCCAGCGTGGTGCGGGCCACCCACCCCCTCGTGCGCAGTGCCGGCCTTTATAAATGCTCTATAGCAGCACTTGCCCCTACAGGCTGTTAAGGCTACACGGGGGATCTTTGCGCGTGTGTGTGTACGTGTGTGTGGACTTCTTTCGCACCGTACGTAGCCAACCATGCAAATCAGAGGTGGCGAGGCAGGACAACAAACTGAAGACAACAAAAAGCAGTTCTAAAGACATCTCCGGAGGACCCGGAGACAAATCCACGCAGTGACCACGGCAAGAGAGAGAGACGCAAACTCCAAATATTCAGCAGCAGGCGTTAGGGTTAGCATCGAACCCACGACCTCCTGCATACCAGGCGAGGGAGATAACATCTCCTAGCCACCGCGGCGCAATTCGCGCGGTTGGCTACGGTACGGTGCCTAAGAAGTTAATCGTACGGTCCACACGTAACAAAGCCCAACATTCAGGCCGCACAGGGATAGACAATGAATTAAGTTTGTCGCCGTAGTCGTCAAAGTCCTTGTCGTCCTCGTGGTCTTCATCGTAGTCATCGTTGAAGTCGTCATAGCCGTTGTGATAATAACAATGAAGATGAAACCCAACGTACTCATCTCCAGGTACTCGTGGAAGAGTCCGAGGCGGCCCAGGTCCTGCAGGTTGTAGTCGTGCTCCCAGCGAGTGCGGATGCGCGTGTGCGTCGCTTTGCGCGCGCTGCGGCTCGACAGCTTGTTCATCAGCCACCTGGGGGGGGGGGGGGGGGGGTCAGCGGTAGTTACAACAGCAGGAGGTCCGGTGGACCGGCTCTGGCTCCTGCCATCATGAGGGGTAGGCGTGTGTATGTTTGTGTGTTTACGTATGTTTGCGCGCGTGTGTGTGTGTACGTTATTGCGTGTTACGCACGGGAATACCACTTCCTGGATGTTACCCCAGATCTGCTTTCCGACCATGATGATGGTGAGCTGGGTGGTCAGCTCCACCAGACAGCCAGCAGGCTCGCACTGCAACCGCACAACCACCACCACCACCACGGCACAACCACCACGTCAGGCAGCACAACAACCAAATCGTGTCACCGCTCTCGTGGGCAAATGCACAACCACCACTGTTGCACCACCACCACGGCAGGCACGCAACAACCAAATCTTCACCGTCCCTGTGTGCAAATTAAAATCAAATTATTTAAATTTTACCAGGTAAGGCCAACTGAGTTAAAGATCAACAAAGTGGCGGCTCATCATCATCACGTTGACATTTATAGCAGTCGCCAAAACTCTCTCAACGCGTGATGTTGATTCTAAATGTGGAGGCGAAAAACCGTAGGACCCGGAGAAAAATCCACGCGACCACGGGGAGAGAGATATACGCAAACTCCAAATATACAGCAGCAGGTGTTAGGGTCAGGATCGAACCCACGACCTCCTGTATACTAGGCGAGGTAGTTAACATCTCCTAGCCACTGTGGTGATGATGGGAGACGCAGACTCCAAATATACAGGCACCACCACTGCCGCCCACAACAACCATCTCACCTCTCCCGCCATCTAACCAACCGCATCACTCAAACACTCATTCCCCCATTAATTCACTTCCTCTCTCACTCAACCACCAACCCCACACACCCCAACTCACACCGCCAGCTTACTCAATCTTGGGATCACACACACACACAGACAAAGATCCCCCGTATAGCCTTCAATAGACTGTTGGGGCGAGTGTTGTTAGAGAGCACCTATGAAGGCCGGCACAGCACACGAGGGGGTGGGTGGCCAAAACCTCGCCTTTGTCTCCCCCGACGATGTTTACACACCGCAGCAGGTACTCATTTAAGGCTGAGTCGACCTAGGGGAGGCCCAGGAGCGGTTCAGATAATCGTCACCGGTGTTTGCCGTGAGCAGGAATCGAATCCGGGTCGCCAGGTTCGTAGCGCAGCGCACTAACCGCTACACTACCGCTCCCCAATACACGCACGCACACACACATACGTACACACACGTATACACACACACAAATACACACACATATACACAAATACACACACATACACACACACATACACACACATACACACAAACACATACACATACACGCACGCGCACACACCTCCTCGTTGCGGAAGCGGCCGAAGAGGTAGATGTAACCGCCGGGGTACCCCACGAACTTGCCCTTGAAGAAGGCGATGTAGAAGATGGAGGAGTAGTAGTTGACGAACTGGAAGAGGAACATCTTGATGGTGAGTCGGTTCTCGTACTCGATCTGAGTCTTGGGCATCTCTGCGCAGAGGGAGGAGGGCACGGGCGGTGGCGGTGGGCAGACGGGGCACAGCGTTGGCACACAGTGTCAAATAATAATGATGACGGAAATGAGTTAATATTAATATCGATCTCAATTCACGCGTCGCACGGTACACGCTCATCGCTCTCGTAGAGAGAGACAGAGGTAGGGGAGGGTAGCGAGACAGAGGAGAAGGGAGGTAGGGGAAGTAGGGAGGGTGGTAAGGGGAAGGTGGGAGTTATGGAGTTAGGTAGGGGAGGGTAGGGAGACAGAGGAGGAGGGAGGTAGGGGAAGAAGGGAGGTAGGGGAAGTAGGGAGGGTGGGAAGGGGAGGGAGTTATGGAGTTAGGTGGGGGAGGGTAGCGAGACAGAGGAGGAGGAGGAGGGGGTCCCGCTCACCCATGTCGGTGATCCAGATGGCCACCTTGACGTAGAAGTAATTGAGCACCATGATGATGGCGAAGTTGAGGCAGGAGGCGGTGATGGCGGTGGCCATCTGGGGCGTGAGGAACGAGTCGATCACCTCGTTCTTGGTGAGCTCCTTGGGCAGGCGCGACGCCAGCACAAAGAAGACGGCCAGCCGGTACACGATGATGCCCACGATCGACGCCAGCACCAGCAGAATCTGACAACGCGGACGCATGGCGCATGGGGGGGGGGTGGGTCGGTGGGCAGCCGGCAGTGTGCGTGTGTGCGTGTGTGCGTGTGTATAAACTAAACTCGACTAAAACTCGTTTTATTTGAGCAGGTTAGGCCCCACTGAGCTGTGGAGCTCTTAGAAGCGGGCATGGCTATCACAAATCATTATAGAGACACAGAGACAGTGGCATACAGGGAGAGACACACTCAGGGAACGTTAGCCACTGAGAAACAGAGAGAGTAAGAGAGACACTGAGTCAGACAGAGAGACAGGGAGAGACAGTGACAGACAGAGAGACAGTGAGAGATAGAGAGAGAGAGACAGAGAGATAGAGACATGGAGAGACATTGAGACACTGAGACAGACAGAGAGAGAGAGACAGAGAGAGACATGGAGAGACAGAGAGAGACATGGAGAGACATTGAGACACAGAGAGAGAGAGAGAGAAACAGTGAGAGACAGAATGAGAGAGACAGAATCAGAGAGACAGTGAGAGACAGACAGAGAGAGAGAGACAGAGAGAGACAGACAGAGAGAGACAGGGAGAGAGAGAGAGAGACAGACAGAGAGAGACAAAGCGATAGAGATATGGAGAGACAGGGAGAGACCGAGAGTTCTCCTCACCCAGAAGAAGACGGTGATGGCAGAGGCACATGTCCGCCAAGCCAGCGTGCCACAGGGCATGTACGGGTCCTGGGCCTATGGGACAGCACCCCGCCAGCACCAGCAGCGCCACCACAACCGGCACCAGAAACCACAACCAGAAACCATCAGCATCGCCAGAAGCATCGGCGCCACCGTCAGAGAACAATCAGCGTAACCGGAACCCATGGGCAAGAACCGCAGGAATCATCAGCAACACCACCGCCGCAATCATCAGCACCACCAAAATCATCATCACCACCGGAATCATCAGCACCGCCACCACCAGAATCATCAGCACCGTCGGCACCGCCGGGAGTAGAAAAACGAATCGCAGAGAGGATGCAACCGGAAATGGACCCCCCCCACCACCCCAGCAAGGCACGGAGAGAGAGACCCAGAGATGGTTCAACTTTAAATAACTTTTTTACGAAATAAAACAAATTTAAACTATTTTTTATTTTACCAAGTAAGGCCCCAAACTGAGGCGACGTCGCTCTTTTCTCCAGAAGCGACTTGGCAATCGCAAATGGTAGCTCAACCAAGTGGCTTGTCGTCATCGTCATGGCGTGGACATTTATATCAGCAGCCAAATCCTCTGAACGCGTGACGTCGATTCTAGACGTGGAGGTGGAATGACCGGAGGAGGACCCCAGAGCCACGGGCAGAGAGAGGAGGGGGAGAGGAACATGCAAACCCCAAATATACACAGCAGCAGCAGCAGCAGACCTCCTCCTACACCAGGCGAGGTCGTCAACATCTCCCTGACGCCACCGTGGCGTCCGTGCCAACCCCCCCCCCCCCCCCCCCGCGCGCCGTCTCCCCCCCGGTCTCTCTTACCCCAAGCACCACGACGGAACTAATGCAAAGGTTCAGGCCGCAATACTCTATCCACGACTTGCTGGAGACAAGCTCTGTGGCCTGCTGGAGGCACAAACCAAGGCCACGGCCGTCATGAGCACACCCAACATCGGCGCGTCCATCGCCAAACACACACACACGCGCCGAACACTCACGTTGTCATTGGCTGCTGACATTTGGGTTGTGCCCATTTCAAACCTTGATCAACAGTTTCCCTTGGAAGCGAACCCCCCTCTTCCTGAAGACGAATGCTTGCGTTGCGATAAAAACGCCGTAATTTTCTGTTATTTTTTATTTTTTTCTTTGAACCTATCCACGTGACTTTGCCGAAAGACCCAAGAATATTAATTCCTGCAGTCACGAAAGCTTTCAGTGAAGATTTAGATTTTTAAACTTTTCGTCACGGCTATTTTCATCGGAGTTATGGCAGGTGAGGCTCTGCCTCTCCTGATCGTACGTCCCTGGTGTAGCATGTAGTGCAGCATGTAGTGTAGCATGTAGTGTAGCATGTAGTGTAGCATGTAGTGTAGCATGTAGTGCAGCATGTAGTGTATGGCGCTGTGTAGTGTAGGATGTAGCGTAGTGGGAGAGCCAGTGGCCTGGGTGATGGGATTGTATTTGTGTAGTGTAGTACATAGTGTAGTGGAGTACGCAGTGTAGTGTAGTATGTAGTGTAGTACGTATTGTAGTATGTAGTGTAGTGTAGTATGTAGTGTAGTACTGGCCTGGGTGATGGGGTTGTACTTGTGTAGTGTAGTACGTAGTGTAGTAAGTAGTACGTAGTGTAGTATGTAGTGTAGTGTGTAGTGTAGTACGTAGTGTAGTACTGGCCTGGGTGATGGGGTTGTACTTGCGCCGCGTGCACTTGGCCTCGTACTCCGGCCTCAGCTGCTCCTCGTCCTCCTCGGTGGCGACCAGGTCCCACTCGTAGTCCAGCGTCGCCTGGTAGCGCTTCCACATCTCCAGGAACAGCGTCACTACGCACACACGCAGGTCCCCCGGGTAGCCTCAGCCGACTGTCGGGGCAAGTGCCGCTGCTGTTGGTGGACCCCGAACGGGAATCGAACTCGGGGTCCCCGGAGTTCGTAAGTCAATGCGCTGACCGCTCCCCAGACACACACACACGCGCACAGTTACGTACAACAGAGACAGATCCCCCGTATAGCCTCAGCCGACTGTTGGGGCAAGTGCTGTTAGCGAGCACCTATGAAGGCTGGCACGGCACACACAGGGGGTGGGTGGCCAGCACCACGCCCGGCCGCCTTTGTCTCCCCAGTGGCGATGTTTACTACACACCACATCAGGTACTCGTTTGAGGCCGAATCGACCTATGTGTGTGGTGCTTCCATTCTTCCCTGCCGTTTGGCTGTTGTCTCCGACTCTCCGAGTTGCATTGCCCTGTTGGGTGCCTTTGCATTCACGGGCTGGGGTCTCACTAACATGGCCACCTCTGCTCCCTTAGCCTCGATGTACCGATGGTTCTGGTTGTGTGATGGGCTGTGTGTCTCGCTGGCGCGACCACCGTTGCGGTGGTTCTCTTGCGTGGACGCGCTTGCCTCACAGCGCAGTTGGCAGCGCCGCAGCTTGTGTTACACACAGACGTGACGTTAACTTGCTAATCTCCCTAATCTCCCTGCCTAATCTCTCCCATCAACGTAGTGCTAATCTCCAATTAGCTAATCTCCAATTAGCACTGCTGTTGTGCGCATATGCGGGGACGATACTCTTATGCGGCGACGGAAGCTCTTTCATGCTAATCTCTCTCCCTAATCTCCCCCATGAACACAACTGACGTGCTTACGTCCAGGGATGGAATTCCTTTCCAGCTCAGACCCCGCTTGCTTGCCCTTCGCCACATATATAACCTCTTGTTGTAACAGCTCTCTCGCTCGTTCAGCAGTTCCACTGCTGGATTATTTTTTCCGCCCGAGGACGACCGCTTGTGTTGCGATCGAAACGTCGCGATATGAATATTTTTTTCTACCTACGTGACTTTACCGAAAAAAACTAAACTATGTTTTATTTTAACAAGCAAGGCCCACTGAGCTGCGTAAGCTATTTTTCAGAAGCGACGTGGCCATCACCAACGATAGCTCACAACCAAGTGGCTCATCATCATCATCGTCATCACGTGGAAATGTAGAGCAGTGGCCATTATGACTCCCAATGCTGGACGTTGAGTCTAAATGTGGAGGGAAAAACCGGAGGAGGACCCGGAGACAAATCCACGCGACCACAGGGGGGGAGAGAGAGACGCAAACTCCAAATATACAGTAGCAAGCGTCGTCAGGGTTGGGATCGAACCCACCACCTCCTGCGTAGCAGGCGAGGTAGTCAACATCCCAGCAGGGATCCGTCGCTTCCTGCCGCTAAACAGCCGGCAGGAGCCTCCTGCAAAGAGAACCGCGAAGAGGCTCGGCGAGGGAGACCGGCGAGGGAGAGAACCGGCGAGGGAGAGAACCGGCGAGGGAGCGCCGGCGGGAGCAGTGACGGTGACAAACGCTTGGGGCCACGGCACTCACCCCAGATGCCCATGAACGCCGCGAAGAAGACGGTGGCCGGATTGTCGAAGAGGTAGGTTTGCTGCACCACACACACGCACGCACACGCACGCACACACACACGCACGTACACACACACGTACACACACGCGCGCACACACACACACACCGTTCACATCGTTGTCATCATCATCATCACCACCAGAATCTGGCTTCAGGACTTCTCTTCCCCCGTGGTTGCAGACCTCTGGGAGTCACTGCAATAGCGGTCTCAGTGACCTGACCTCCTGCTCGTCGACCCTCCACACCACGTGTCCCACCCATCACTCCTTCCTCCTCCTCCACACCACGTGTCCCACCCATCACTACCTCCTCCGCCTCCACACCACGTGTCCCACCCATCACCACCTCCTCCTCCTCCACACCACGTGTCCCACCCATCACTCCCTCATCCTCCTCCACACCACGTGTCCCACCCATCACTACCTCCTCCTGCACACCACGTGTCCCACCCATCACTACCTCCTCCGCCTCCACACCACGTGTCCCACCCATCACTACCTCCTCCTCCTGCACACCACGTGTCCCACCCATCACTCCTCCTCCTCCACACCACGTGTCCCACCCATCACTACCTCCTCCTCCTCCACACCACGTGTCCCACCCATCACCACCTCCTCCTCCTCCACACCACGTGTCCCACCCATCACTCCCTCCTCCTCCTCCACACCACGTGTCCCACCCATCACTACCTCCTCCTGCACACCACGTGTCCCACCCATCACTACCTCCTCCGCCTCCACACCACGTGTCCCACCCATCACTACCTCCTCCTCCTGCACACCACGTGTCCCACCCATCACTCCTCCTCCACACCACGTGTCCCACCCATCACTACCTCCTCCTCCTCCACACCACGTGTCCCACCCATCACTACCTCCTCCTCCTCCACACCACGTGTCCCACCCATCACTACCTCCTCCTCCTCCACACCACGTGTCCCACCCATCACTACCTCCTCCTCCCCCACACCACGTGTCCCACCCATCACTACCTCCCCCTCCTGCACACCACGTGTCCCACCCATCTCAAGGTGAGCGTCTTCACTCACCTTGGAGGAGCTGCAGGTGATGTTCAGCCTCCAGTAGGTGCACTGCTTGTCGCACTGAGGGCACATGATGAACCTCCCGCCGATGTTGGCATCGCAGATCTCCTTGCTGGGCGGGCAGACGCACGGGAGGGGGGTGGGGCACGGCGCTCGCTCAGCCCGGCGGGAGCCGTCTTCACGGCAGGCATCCCCGCCGAGGCCGTCGCTGGGCCGGGCCGATGCTGTAGCCGCTGTTGTGAGCGGTAGTGCAGTAGTGGTTGTCGTGCTGCCCTACAAGAACCCACCCACCCACACACCCACCCACACGTCTCCCCACCCACCCACACGTCCCCCCCACCGACACACCCCGAACCCCTATCCACCCGTCTCCCCACCCACCCGTCTCACCACCCACTCACCCATCTCACCACACGCCTACCCACCCATCTCACCACCCACCCATCTCACCATCCACCCATCTCACAACCCACCCACCCATCTCACCACCCACCCACCCATCTCACCACCCACCCACCCATCTCACCACCCACCCACCCATCTCACCACCCACCCACCTATCTCACCACCCACCCACCCATCTCACCACCCACCCACCCATCTCACCACCCACCCACCCATCTCACCACCCACCCACCCATCTCACCACCCACCCACCCATCTCACCACCCACCCATCTCACCACCCACCCATCTCACCACCCACCTCCACACGCCGTCGTCCATGGTGCAGAGGCCGTAGATGAAGCAGCCGGTGCCGACGACGGCGGCGATGAACAGCATGAAGGTGTAGAAGCCCAGCCAGGCAAAGTACAGCGCAATCTTCTCCCCAAAGTACTTCCTGCAGCACGCACCACGACAACAAGCGCCGTTTGTACTCAGGGGCGGCAGCGTCACCGCGGCGCGCTTGTGCCAGGCTAGGTGCACGTCCAGGCCGTCAAGTGAATCGAGGAAGGCCCTCGCTGCTGGCGGGAGGTGATCACGGGACAGACCCAGGATGTCACGGGACAGGCCCAGGAGGTCACGGGACAGACCCAGGAGGTCACGGGACAGACCCAGGAGGTCACGGGACAGGCCCAGGAGGTCACGGGACAGACCCAGGAGGTCACGGGACAGACCCAGGTGGTCACGGGACAGGCCCAGGAGGTCACGGGACAGGCCCAGGAGGTCACGGGACAGACCCAGGAGGTCACGGGACAGACCCAGGTGGTCACGGGACAGACCCAGGAGGTCACGGGACAGGCTCAGGAGGTCACGGGACAGACCCAGGAGGTGACGGGATAGTCCCAGGTGGTCACGGGACAGGCCCAGGAGGTCACGGGACAGGCCCAGGAGGTCACGGGACAGACCCAGGAGGTCACGGGACAGGCCCAGGAGGTCACAGGACAGACCCAGGAGGTCGCGGGACAGACCCAGGAGGTCACGGGACAGGCCCAGGAGGTCACGGGACAGACCCAGGAGGTCACGGGACAGACCCAGGTCACGGGACAGGCCCAGGAGGTCACGGGACAGACCCAGGAGGTCACGGGACAGACCCAGGAGGTCACGGGACAGGCCCAGGAGGTCACGGGACAGAGTTGTGGGCTGTCTGCCTGGGATGACCAACGGATTTCTGTGGGCAGAAGCAGCAGCAGCTGCCTACTCAACAAGGACGATGATTTTGATTTAAAGCTTTCGTGACTGCAGGGATTCATCTTCTTGGTTCTTTCGGTAAAGTCACGTAGAAGGGAAATAATAAAATAATAAAAATAAAACATAAGAAATATAGTTGTATTTAATTAAATAATAAAATTTTCACATAATAAATACAATTGTATTTTATTATGTGAAATTTTTATTACGTTATTATTTCCCTTCTACGTGACTTTAGCGAAAGAACCAAGAAGGACGATGATCCTGGGAAAACCAGGACAGGTGGCAACCTGACCCTGCCACCCAAACAACAACAACAAACACCATTTGCCGCCAAGTGGCGGTGACGTCACCAAGGCGTTCGTGCCAGGCTAGGTGCACTTTAAGGCCACATGAAGTGTAAAAGGTTCGCTGGAAGGTCACGGGACAGACCCAGCAGGTGCCATGGGTTGACCTGACTTGACATGAGTGGCCGATGTACCACCTGTGTCCCCTACTGTACCAACTTGCTGTGCTTAGCCACCTGGCGCTCCGCTCGTTGTTGTGAGCGTCGCTCCTCCCCCCTCCGTTGTCGTTGGAGGGCGACTGCCTCCAACTGCCCAGTAGCGTCCTTCACGAGCCTCCTCCTCCACAGAGGCCGATCTTGACACTGCTGGTACTGGTCATTGGCAAGTCCACTCAGCTCCACATCTCCCCGTGGCCTGTGTCCCATGGGTTGACCGACTGAGATGACTGGCAGATGCAGTCACTCACACACTGACTCACCAACCCACCCACCCTCCCGCACACTCATCCACTCGTGTGCCACTCCCCCCTCCCCCCCCCGTGCCCCCCCACGTGCCCCCCCCGTGCCCCCCCCCCGTGCCCACCGTATGAAGTTGAGAGGCTGCTGCTTGTAGAAGCGTGCAGGCCGTGCCCACTCGCTGTACAGCACCAGCCGCTCGCTGCCTCCGTGGGCATCCGCCGTCTCCTTCCAGTACTTACTCTGCAACACGCACGCCCACGCGACACTCACCAGCCGACACTCACCAGCCGCCCACGCGACACTCACCAGCCGCCCACGCGACACTCACCAGCCGACACTCACCAGCTGACACTCACCAGCCGCCCACGCGACACTCACCAGCCGCCCACACGACACTCACCAGCCGACACTCACCAGCCAGCCGCCACTCACCAGCCGACACTCACCAGCCACTCAGCAGCCAGTAGCTATTCACCACTCACATCACCCACACATTTAGCTGCTTCCTAGTGAGTCACCATCACCGTGCCCGGCATGGCTCTCGCTGGAAAGCAGCGGCACCAAGTAGCTGGACAGCGGTGAGTGCTCGTGTGAGTGGGTGAGTGTGTGGGTGGTGAGTGTGTGGGTGAGTGGGTGGTGAGTGTGTGGGTGAGTGGGTGGTGAGTGGTTGAGTGGGTGGGTGGGTGAGTGAGTGGGTGAGTGGGTGGTGAGTGTGTGGGTGAGTGGGTGGGTGAGTGGTTGAGTGGGTGGGTGAGTGAGTGTGTGGGTGAGTGAGTGAATGGGTGAGTGAGTGGTTGAGTGAGTGAGTGATTGAGTGAGTGATTGAGTGAGTGGGTGAGTGGCTGAGTGAGTGGGTGTGTGAGTGGGTGTGTCAGTGGGTGAGTGCTTGAGTAAGTGCTTGAGTGGTTGAGTGAGTGGTTGAGTGAGTGGGTGAGTGAGTGGATGAGTGAGTGAGAGTGAGTGAGAGTGAGTGAGTGAGTACGCTCCACGTTCCGAGCCTCTTGGGCTCAAAGCGACCATCACGCGACGTCACATTGGTTGTTTTTGGTGGCAGTGTTGACAGTGGTGCCACGTGGCAAGCCAAGCCTGGGTTTCACTCCCGACTGGGGCGTCTTACTGTGTGGAGTGTGTGTGTGAGCGTGAGAGAGTGGAGTGTGTGTGTGTTCTGCAGAGTGAGAGAGTGGAGTGTGTGTGTGTTCTGCAGAGTGAGAGAGTGGAGTGTGTGTGTGTTCTGCAGAGTGAGAGAGTGGAGTGTGTGTGTGTTCTGCAGAGTGAGAGAGTGGAGTGTGTGTGTGTTCTGCAGAGTGAGAGAGTGGAGTGTGTGTGTGTTCTGCAGAGTGAGAGATTGGAGTTTGTGTGATCTCCCCCTCTTCTGCGTGAGTTTCCTCCGGGTTCTCCGGTTTACTCCTCCCATAGCTAAACCCACACCCACAGTGGAACTGCTATCGTGTGCCGTGCTGGCCTTCATTAGGTGGTGCTACTCGCTAACAGCACTTGCCCCAACAGTCTGTTGAGGCTATACGGGGGATTTTTGTCGTGTGCGTGTGTGCGAGTGAATGCGTGTGAGGGTTTGTGGGGGGAGCAGTAGTGCGGGGGTGAGGAGAGGGTGAGGAGAGGGTGAGGGAGGGTGAGGAAGGATAGAAAGGTGAGCAAGCAGGAGGCAGACAGGGCCGGACTAACGCAGAGGCCGGACCATCACAATCGTAATAATTAGACTGCAGGAGGAGGAGGAATCTGATGAGCTATGAAGCTCCGTGTCACAGATGTCCAGTAGGGGCATGGGCTAAGAACATTACAACAACAAACAACACAACACAAAACACGCGGTAGGAGTGCAAAGTAAAGTAAAGGTTAAAAACAAATCACTTAAACAATAAATATACAAAGGCAACTCAACTATTTTGAACGCATTCTTCAGAAGCGCCCTGGCCACGACTGAGAGACTAACGCAGCGGAGGCCGCCGCACTAAAGCAGAGTCTGGACTATCAGAGTCAGAATATGTATTTCCACTGGAGGAATCCGATGAGCTAGAAAGCTCTTTGCCGCAGTCGCCGTTGGCGTGCCACTGGCGCCAGCGTCCACGTTTTCCCGAATTCGAAAATCTCGGCCGTGAATCAAAAACTAAAACTTAACTATTTTTTGCTTTACCAAGGTAAGGACCCCACTGAGCTACGTAGCTTTTTTCAGAAGCGACCTGGCGATCGCAAACGACAACTCAGCCACCACGTGGACAGTTATAGCAGCAGCCAAACACTGTGAACGTGTGACGTCTATTCTGAATGTGGAGGGGGGAAAAACCGAAGAACCCGGAGAAAAATCCACGCGACCACGCGGAGAGAGAGAGAGAGAGACACGCAAACTCCAAATATACAGCAGCAGCGGGCATCGTCAGGGCCGGGATAGAACCCACGACCTCCTGTGTACCAGGCGAGGTAGTCAACATCTCCTGGCCACTGCGGTGCCCTCACGCGACTGGGATTGTGACCACACAGGCAACAGTGGGCGGCGATCACGACACACGCATCCCGCCCACCCCCTCCTATTGGCAGCAGACGCGATGCCCCGGGAGAGCCTCGCAACCGGGGATCTACCGTCAGCTGGTCTCGCAGCTGGCCGCGCCCACCACCAACTCAACGTGGAACCTGAGAGCGGCCCAAACCCGCAGCGCCCGTCACAGAGAGCTTCACAGCTCATCGGATTTCCTCGGGTATGAATAATAAATACTCAATTGATTCTGCTTCTAGGAAAGCAGAGCCGCTCTAATGGCGTCGAGAAAGTTTTTACCACTGCGGCGGTCCTCGCGCATGACGCGGGCAAAGATCCCCCGTGTAGCCTCAACAGGCTGTCGGGGCAAGTGCTGCGAGTAGCAAGTAGCAACACCTATGAAGGGCCGCACTGTGGCACACGAGGGGGCGGGTGGCCAGCACCACGCCCGGCCGCCTTTGTCTCCCCAGCAGGCAAAGTTTCCACACCGCTGCAGCAGGTACGCATTTGAGGCCGAGTCGACCTAGGGGAGGCCCAGGACCTGGTTTAGATTAAACGTCGCCGGCGTTCGTGGCCGTGAGCAGGAATCGAACTCGGGTCGCCAGGTTCGTGGCGCGGCGCGGCAACTACGATGCTCACACAGCCACCGGGTTTTATTTCACTTTGTATTTTACTGAGCTAGAACAGCTCTTTTCAGAAGCGACTCATCATCGTGATCGTGTGGAAGTTTATAGCCAAACACTCGAAATGCGCGTGACGCTCATTCTAAAAGTGAAGCGGGGAAAAAAACGGAGGAGGACCCGGAGAGAAAAATTCACGCGACCACAGGGAGAGAGAAACACGCAAACTCCAAATAATAGCGGACATCGTCAGGGTCGGGGTAAAACTCATGACCTCCTGTATACCAGGAGAAGTAGTTAACATCTCGCCAAATATACAACAGGCATCGTCAGGGTCAGGATCGAACCCACGACCTCCTGTATACCAGGAGAAGTAGTTAACATCTCGCCAAATATACAACAGGCATCGTCAGGATCAAACCCACGACCTCCTGTATACCAGGAGAGGTAGTTAACATCTCGGCACATATACAGCAGTAGGCATCGTCAGGGTCAGGATCGAACCCATGACCTCTTGTATACCAGGAGAGGTAGTTAACATCTCGCCAAATATACAACAGGCATCGTCAGGGTCGGGATCGAACCCACGGCCTCCTGTGTACCAGGCGAGGTAGTTAACATCTCGCCAAATATACAACAGGCATTGTCAGGGTCGGGATCGAACCCACGACCTCCTGTGTACCAGGCGAGGTAGTTAACATCTCCTAGCCACCGCGGCGGCCGGCTGTGGATGTCCAAGCGCTGTCGATCTTTTTTAAACTTAGATCCAGATTCGTGATCCGTACAATCGGGTTTTAGAAAACCGGAATCGGACTAAGCCGAGTCGGAGCGCCAGTGGAGGAGTTTGGTGGCACCGCCATCATCAGGCACAGGTGGTGGGTTCAACAGTCAAGGGAAGGAGGAATTTAAGGTTCAACAGAGAGAGGGAGTGGAGTGGGGGACCCCCCCCCCCCGCTACCACCTCACCATCCAACACCACAACGACTCCGCGTCCAACCGTTCAAACGTAATCCGGCCCTGATTTTGAAAGCTTGCGAGGCTGCTGGTTCCCAACCGTGCAGCAGGCAACGTGCTGTGCGTGGGTACGTACGTGTGTGTACGTACGTGTGTAGTACGTGTGTGTACGTGTGTGGACGTGTGTGTACGTGTGTGTACGTGTGTGGACGTGTGTGTACGTGTGTGTACGTACGTGTGTGTACGTGTGTGTACGTGTGTGTACGTGTGTGGACGTACGTGTGTGGACGTACGTTGTTCAACTTCCTTCAGCACCGTACGTAGCCAGCCATGCGAATGTATGTACGTGTGTGTGTGTGTTCAACTTCCTTCAGCACCGTACGTAGCCTACCGTTGCAAAAAATATAAACAATTTTAAGCAGCCAAACCGCTGCCCAAATGGCGCGGCCTCGGGAGGATGGGGTGCCGGTGCTCAAGGCACGAGGAGGTTTTTCGACGTAACTAGAATCGTAATGACAATCGTCACAAGTTGTACGATGTCTGTAATGTGGATTTGTGACGTTCAGCCACACGGTATTGGCTCGCCGCTCTCGTAGGGAGAGAGACGGGGGGGAGGGCGACGCAGAGAGACAGCGAGTGAGTGATCCGCCAACCCCTCACTCACTGCCGCTACAGCGGTGCTGGGTCGCTACGGGCAGACACGCACCTCCGATTGGCGCGGCTGGCTACGTACGGTGAGAAGGAAATTCAACGTACGCCGCTATACGTGCGTGCGTAGCGTCCACGACAGCTGTGCTGCAGCACGGGTTGGGGACCGCTCGCGTCAAAGCCGTGAAGAAGCTCGCGAAGAAAAGGAGGTGGAGGAGGCAAAAGCTCCGACAGGAGACATCGAATAGAATATCAAAATGACGAGGGTTGAAGGGGGAGAGAGAAGGCGGTCATTTTGATGAGGTGATACCCACCTCGGCATCGGAAGTTAGCAGCGAATCAACGCCGGCCAGCGACTGCAAACAGCAACACAGAGACGCTCAGAGTCACCGCCACCGCCACCACCACCGCCGCCAACACCGCCACCACCGCCGCCACCGCCGCCACCGCCGCCACCACCACCACCGCCACCACCGCCACCACCGCCACCACCGCCGTCCATCCATCCCACCGTCACTCGCCACAGCAAAGTTTGCGTGGCCAAACCGTTTCTCCCCCCCTCTCACTCGTCCCTACACGCAAATTTTTCCAGAGCCAGGCCAGCGCTGGGCTGGCTCTCGGGCGCCACCGGCGGCTAGGAGATGTTGACTACCTCGCCTGGTACGCAGGAGCTCGTAGGTTCGATCGACAACCCTGGCGCCTGCCCGCCCGCCGCTGTATATCTGGAGTTTGCGGTGTCTCTCTCTCCTTGGAGGACCCGGAGGAAAATCCACGTGACCACGGGGAGAGAAAAGAGAGAGAAGACTCCAAATACACAGCAGCAGCAGCAGGCGTCGTCAGGCGGGCGGGATGGGACCCACGACCTCGTGCGCACCACCAGGCGAGGGCGACAACATCTCGACAAACCACGGGCCACCCCCGCTCGAGGGCTCGAGGGGTCTCGCCGCGGCGACGAGTTTTCTAAACGCGCGACGGGAGGATTTAAAAATTCCCGCGTTGGCAAGAACTTCGTCTCCATGGGGGGGCGGGGGGGCGGGGGGGGGTGGGGGGGGGGGGGGCGGGGGGGGCGGGGGGGGGCGGGGAGGGCGGGGAGCGCCGGCAGAACCGGCGAGGGGGGGTGGTAGGGGGGGATGGAATGCTCGCCGGCGATGGCGGTGGCGGCGGCGGTGAGCGCAATCAGAGTGAACAAAGCGAGCCACCTCCAGCTCCCGGCTCACACCGGCGGTGAAATGACGTCGTCGGCATAGCCAGGCAGCCAGGCAGGCAGCCAGGCAGCCAGGCAGCCAGGCAGGCAGCCAGGCAGGTGTGGGGGATTAGCGGCCAAGTCATCAACACTCCATTAATCTTTTCCGTGGTTACATTCCTCCCACCCCCTCCCGTTCTCCCCATGAACCCCTTCCATGAGAACGTCATCAGTTTGTTTTCTTTCCAGATTCCGTTCCGAATTTACCAGAACAATAATACAACGTGCGGCCTCTGTGGGTAGTAGCCTTGTGGGGAGCGGTAGTGTAGTGGTTAGCGCGCTGCGCTATGAACCTGGCGACCCGGGTTCGATTCCCGCTCACGGCAAACACCAGTGACGATTATCTGAAACGGTCCTGGGCCTCCCCTAGGTCGACTCAGCCTTAAATGAGTACCTGGTGCGGTGTGTAAACATCGCCACTAGGGAGACAAAGGCGGTCGGGCGTGGTGCTGGCCACCCACCCCCTCGTGTACCGTTCCGGCCTTCATAGGTGCTCGCTAACAGCACTTGCCCCTACAGTCTGTTCAGGCTATACGGGGGATCTTTGTCTTTGTCTTTGTCTTGTGTGTGTGCGTGTGTGCGCGTGTGCGTGCGTGGGTGTGCGTGCGTGTATGTAAGTGCGTGCGTGTGTATGTAAGTGCGTGCGTGTGCGTGTGCGTGCGTGTGTGTACGTGTGTGTGCGTAAGTGTGTAAGTGTGCGTGTGTGTACACGTGTGTGTGTGCATGTGTGTGCGTGTGTGTACGTGTGTGTGCGTGCGTGCGTGCCCGTACGTCGTGGAGGGGATAAGCCGCATTGTAGGTGCCGTTGCTCAGCAGCCGTTCGATCCCGAACCGCACCTTCTCCTCGTCCTCCTCCTCCGTGTAGCCACAGCGCGACAGCACGTAGTACACCTACAGGCAGCAGCACACAGCACGTAGTACACCTACAGGCAGCAGCACACAGTACACTTACAGGCAGCACACATCACGTAGTACACCTACAGGCAGCAGCAGCACACAGCACGTAGTACACCTACAGGCAGCAGCAGCACACAGCACGCAGTACACCTACAGGCAGCAGCACACAGCACGTAGTGCATCTATAGACAGCACGTAGTGCACCTACAGGCAGCACGCAGCACGTAGTGCACCACGTACGATGTGGTTGCGCGTGTACGTGCCTATACATGGGTGGGTGTGTGCGTGTAGGAGCGTGTATGTGCGTGTGTTTGTACGTGCGTGTACGTGCGTACGTGCTTGCGTGCGTGTGTGTGCGTGCGTGTAGGAGCTTGTAGGAGCGTGCGTGTGTGCGTGTAGGAGCGTGTACGCGCATGTGTGTGCGTGTGTGTGCGTGTGTACGTGCGTGTGTGCGTGTAGGAGCGTGCGTGCGTGTAGGAGCGTGCGTGCGTGTGTGTGTGCGTGTGTGCGTACGATGCGGTTGCGCGTGGTCTCGCTGAAGAAGGCCTCCTGGTCGTGGATGAGGAAGGCGTCGCGGTGGCTCATCTGGAACGGCGCCGTGAAGTACTCCACGTCGGCACGGATCACGTCGGGACTCAGCTTGTACAGCTTCTCCAGGCACGAGCGCAGCGTCGTGTCGCGCTGCACCTGGTTCTCCTTCACCGGCACCTGCGTGCCCACACCGCCCTCGTCACCCTCACCGTCGCCGCCGTCGCTGTCATCATCATCATCGTCGTCACCATCACCGTTATCGCCGCTATCATCATCGTCACCATCATCATCGCCATCATCATCATCGTCACCATCATCGTCGCTATCATCATCGTCGCTATCATCATCGTCGGCATCATCATCATCATCATCGTCGCTATCATCATCATCGTCACCATCACCGTCATGGCTGTCGTCATCACGATCGCCGTCATCACTGTCATCGATCGTGATTCTTTAAAAAAAAAAGATAATTTTTAGATTGCACTCATGATTTGCCAGCTATTTTTTTTATTTCTCTCATCTGTTATTGTTTAACGTCGATTTATTTTACTGCGACTTGTTGCGTTTGTCGGAGAAGCGGCGGTGTTGCTGCTTTTGTTGATGAAACACCGAATTAAGAGCTTCTCGGCTCACAGGGTCCTTCAAAATAAACTGAACCGTCATCATCACCTTCATCACCTCCATCATCATCACCACCATCATCACCAGCGTCATCACCACCGTCATCACCACCATCATCATCACCGTCATCATCACCGTCATCACGATTATCGACATCATTACCACCACCACCACCACCGCCGTCATAACCATCACCGCTGTAACCATCATCGCTATCACTGTCATCATCACCGTCATGCAGGAGAGGGAAGGAGGGAGCCAGGGGTCACGCAGAGGCGCGTCGCTACCCCCCATCACCTGGGGGTCTCCGTGCCCCACTCACCTTGATGTGAAGCTTCTCGGCGAAGGTGCAGAGCACTTCGAAGGGAGCGTGCACCTTCACGAAGTAGGTCTTGCCGTCCGTCGCCGACTGTGACGACGACACACACAACAACACGCGTACAATCACACACAACAACACACGTACAATCGCACACAACACGCGTACCATCGCACACAACACGTGTACAATCACACACAACACGCGTACCATCACACACAACACGCGTACAATCACACACAACACGTGTACAATCACACACAACACGTGTACAATCACACACAACAACACAAGTACCATCATACACAACAACACGCGTACCATTGCACACAACAACACGCGTACAATCACACACAACAACACACGTACCATCACACACAACAACACGCGTACAATCACACACAATCGCAGGCTCGCGCCGTGACGCCGTTCCTCTCGCTCGGGTTCAAGCGTCTCCCTGCCGTCTCGACATGTCCGACACGGGACGGCAGCGAGTGGCCACGCGGAGAGCACTTTGTGGTCGTGGCGAGAAACACTCACGGGGCGGAGGGAAAATACTCACGGGGCGGAGGGAAAACACTCACGGGGCGGAGGTAAAACACTCACGGGGCGGAGGTAAAACACTCACGGGGCGGAGGTAAAACACTCACGGGGTGGAGGGAAAATACTCACGGGGTGGAGGGAAAATACTCACGGGGCGGAGGGAAAACACTCACGGGGCGGAGGTAAAACACTCACGGGGCGGAGGTAAAACACTCACGGGGTGGAGGGAAAATACTCACGGGGTGGAGGGAAAATACTCACGGGGCGGAGGTAAAACACTCACGGGGCGGAGGTAAAACACTCACGGGGCGGAGGTAAAACACTCACGGGGCGGAGGGAAAACACTCACGGGGCGGAGGGAAAACACTCACGGGGCGGAGGGAAAACACTCACGGGGCGGAGGGAAAACAGTCACGGGGTGGAGGTAAAACACTCACGGGGCGGAGGTAAAACACTCACGGGGCGGAGGGAAAACACTCACGGGCGGAGGGAAAACACTCACGGGGCGGAGGGAAAACACTCACGGGGCGGAGGGAAAACACTCACGGGGCGGAGGTAAAACACTCACGGGGCGGAGGTAAAACACTCACGGGGCGGAGGTAAAACACTCACGGGGCGGAGGTAAAACACTCACGGGGCGGAGGGAAAACACTCACGGGGCGGAGGGAAAACACTCACGGGGCGGAGGGAAAACAGTCACGGGGTGGAGGTAAAACACTCACGGGGCGGAGGTAAAACACTCACGGGGCGGAGGGAAAACACTCACGGGCGGAGGGAAAACACTCACGGGGCGGAGGGAAAACACTCACGGGGCGGAGGTAAAACACTCACGGGGCGGAGGTAAAACACTCACGGGGCGGAGGTAAAACACTCACGGGGCGGAGGGAAAACACTCACGGGGCGGAGGGAAAACACTCACGGGGCGGAGGGAAAACACTCACGGGGCGGAGGGAAAACACTCACGGGGCGGAGGTAAAACACTCACGGGGCGGAGGGAAAACACTCACGGGGCGGAGGGAAAACACTCACGGGGCGGAGGGAAAACACTCACGGGGCGGAGGGAAAACACTCACGGGACGGAGGGAAAACACTCACGCGGTGGAGGTAAAACACTCACGGGGCGGAGAGGAAACACTCACGGGGTGGAGAGGAAACACAGCGGTGGTGACGGTGATGGTGCTGGGATGAGGCTCACAGGGCAGATCTATGTATGTTGAACTTCTTTCGCACCGTACGTAGCCAACCATGTTAATCAGAGGTGCAAGGTAAGGACACACTATGGGTCTCTGTGAGTCTATGAGTCTCTGCGTGAGTCTATGGGTCTCTGCGTGAGTCTATGGGTCTCTGCGTGAGTCACTGGCTCTGTGTGGGTCTATGGGTCTCTGCATGAGTTTATAGGTCTCTGCGTGAGTCTATGGGTCTCTGCGTGAGTCACTGGCTCTGTGTGGGTCTATGAGTCTCTGCATGAGGCTATGGGTCTCTGTGTGAGTCTTTGGGCCTCTGCGGGAGTCACTGGCTCTGTGTGGGTCTATGGGTCTCTGTATGAGGCTATGGGTCTCTGTGTGAGTCTTTGGGTCTCTGCGGGAGTCACTGGCTCTGTGTGGGTCTATGGGTCTCTGTGTGAGTCTACGAGTCTCTCTGTGCGAGTCCATCGGTGTTGTAATAATTATAGATGTTTGTTTAAAGGGCTCACGTACACTTTTGTCCACCGTCTCCAGGAGTAGGCCGTACTTCTTCTGCAGGTTCAGCTCAAAGGTTTTGCGACGATCCTAGAAGAGAGGGGAGAGGGGGTCGGGGGGCAGCGGGAGGTCGTCGGCATCTTCACAAGAGAGGTTTTTTTTTTAGTCGGGCTAGATCGCGTAAATATATATGTGTCGTTAAACCCACCACCACCACGCAGCAGAGGTCGCAACCCGATACCCGATACCCGTACCCTACCTGATACCCAGCTACCCGTACCCAGCCGGGTACAGGTAGCCGTTTGCGACCCTGGTGCGGCCGGGTACGGGTACGGGTAGGCCGTGAGTCACTGGTGAGTAACCGTTTGTCACTCATTTCAGGTAGGGTACGGGTAGGGAACGGGTACCCGTACGGGTACCCATTTGCGACCCTGGTGCGGCCGGGTACGGGTACGGGTAAGGAATCAAAACCCGTTTACGACCTCTGCCACGCGGACACGCCCAGCGAGTGAGGGGTTTGCGACGTATTCAACGAACGGAGCAGGGGGAGGATTTCTCCACAACTCCGGGTGTCGCCCGTTGATGCTGGTTGTTGTTGTTGTTGCAATTACCGGCGCAACGTCACGGTAAACGTTGCAGTGGGTTTACTCTCCAACACGCAGCCGGTTAGCGCTGCACCGGTAACCAATCGGCACGTTCTGTTTACGTGACGAACCTTTACCAATTGGCCGTGTGCCGGGTGGTGGTGTTGCGGGTTTAACGGACGCATTTATATTCACGCGATCCAACCCAGAAGGGGAAACCTCTATTTTGGATAACATTGGTCACGGAAGCCGTACCGAGTGTTACATCGTCATCCTTGTGACCATCGCCGTCGCCACCGGCTGCTTACAGACGAAGTTGGTTGACAAAAGGAGCCAGCATCTACATCACCAAGAGAGCGAGCAAACCGTCCAACTATTTTAAACAACTCAACTACTGTTTTTCATTGTACCAGGTACGGCCCACTGAGCAATAGTAGCTCTCTGTTTCAGAAGTGATCTGGCCATCACAAATGGTAGCGGCTTCTCATCATCGTCACCACCACCAGGGGGACATGTGTCGCAGAAGCCAATTACACTATGAGCGCACGATTCCAAATGTGGAGGGGGAAACTGGAGGACCCAGTGACCACGGAGAGAGCGAGAGAGGCAAATATTAAGGGGTCAGGGTCGGGATCGAAGCCACGACCTCCTGCACACCAGGCGAGTGAGTTAACATCTCCCATTCAACATGGAGGCTTTCGAGGACCGATATGTTCCACAACACCGGCTCTAGGGGTTACATCGCGGTCATCTAAATGCGTGAAGTAGTAAACTAATTGGCACGCTTTGATTACGTGACAACAACTCACTAATTGGCTGTGTCGGGTGGCGGCGGGCTAACAACACATTCATATAAAAGTATGAAAAATAAGTTCAGTTTTACCCTTCCTTAAATAAAACAGGACGTGTGAAGATGTTCAAACATACTTTGATGCCGGCAAAAAAGGCATCCCACGATTTTGCTGCTCACCCCGAGCTACGACTGCCCTGGCACCGTTCGTCTTTTGGCGAAGTTCTCTGGCCTGACGCTGCCGGTGAGACCAGGCCATGACGGAGGCGGCCGTCTCCGGAGTAGGACAATCAGCTTCTAAGACGATGCGAGCACGCTGAGAGAAGTGTTGTGTGTGCATGTTCGGCACACGCACTCTGTGTGGCGGTTAATGCAGTAACTCGATTCCTGTTTGGCGTGTGAGCGTCTCAACACAACTCCTGTTGTATTGCCAGAAAGGCACGCACATATATTATTACTCTTCGCACAATGTCATTTGTTCGCTCTTCACGAGCACCTCAGGGCTGTATCGCTGGCGGCGGCGAGTGAGGAGGCAAAGCCGGAATCCTCCCAAGACGTCTTGGCGAGCGTGCGGGGCAGGGAGTGTGCGGGGTAGGGAGTGTGCGGGGCAGCAATCATGCGGGGCAGGGATCGTGCGGGCAGCCCGAGTGACATCGGCCACGACTGATAACGCCCTCCGTGGGTGTGGTGGGGTCACAGCAGATGGCACGTGCAGCTGCCTGTGTGTTGGTGTGTGTGCGTGTTGGTGCGTGTGCATGTTGGTGCGTGTGCGTGTCGGTGCGTGTCGGTGCGTGTGCGTGTCGGTGCGTGTGCGTGTCGGTGCGTGTGCGTGTCGGTGTGCGTGCATGTTGGTGTGTGTGCGTGCGTGTTGGTGTGTGTGCGTGTTGGTGTGTGCGGTGTGTATGTGCTTCTGTGTGCGTTGTGTACGTGCTGTGCGTGCGCTCTGCGCGTGTGCGTCTATGTAACAACGGTGACCAGAGTTCGATTCCTGCTTACGGCCAACACCGGTGACAATTATCTGAACCGGTCCTTGGCCTCCCCTAGGTCGACTCAGCCTCCAATGGGTACCCGGTGCGGCGTGTGGTAAGCATCGCCACTGGGGAGACAAAGGCGGCCGGGCCTAGTGCTGGCCACCCATCCCCTTGTGTGCCACAGCGCTGGCCTATATTGGTGCTGCTACTCGCTACGAACAGCACTTGCCCCCAAAAGTCTACACGGGGGACCTTTGTCTTTGTTTGGGGGTGGTGGGAGGCGCAGGAAGTGTGGGGGGATGCAGGGAGGGGTCGCGGCAGTGATGGGAGGGGCACTTCCTGTGTGGAAGGTCACACTTTGAGCAGATGATTATTCATAGATATTTTGTATTTTAATAGAGGTTTGTTGCAAGAAGCACAGCGGGCAGTCGCAGTCGCCCGCACATCTCGCTCTCTCTCTCCCTCCCCGCCGCTCACAGTTCGTCGCCGTACCCCTGCACCTCCGATAAGCACGGTTGGCTACGTACGATGCGAAAAAAGTTCAGCGTACATGCACACGCACAAACATAAACAGCACACGCACACACAAACACAGCACACGCACACACACACATACACAGCACACACAAACACAGCACACACACACAGCACACACACACACAGCACACGCACACACAAACATACACAGCACACACACACAGCACACACACACAGCACACACACACAGCACACACAAGCACAGCACACGCACACACACACATACACAGCACACACACCAACACAAAGATCCCCTCTGTGTAGCCTCAACAGACTGTTGGGGCAAGCGATGTTAGTGGCAAGTAGCAGCACTGATGAAGGCCGGCACTGTGGCACGCGTGTGGGGTGTGGGTGGCCAGCACCACGCCCGGCACGGACACACACACACACACGCACAAAGACCCCCCATATAGCCTTAAAAGACTGTTGGGGAAAGTGCGGTTAGCGAGCACCTATGAAGTCCTGCACTGTGGCACACGTGGGGGGTGTGGGTGGCAAGCACCACACCCGGCCGCCTTTGTCTCCCCAGTGGCGATGTTTATACATCGTACCAGGTACAAATTTGAGGCCGAGTCGACCTAGGGGAGGCCCAGGACCGGTTCAGATTATCATCACCGGTGTTGGCCGTGAGCGGGAATCCAACTCGGGTCATCGGGTTCGTAGCGTGGAGCGCTAACCGCTACACTACCACTCCCCACAGACACACACACACTGAGACACACACACAGAGATACACACACAGATACAGAGATACACACACACACATAGATACAGAGATACACACACACACACATACAGAGATACACACACACAGATAGACACAAAACAGACACTGACGCACACACAACAAGCACCATTCATTATTCACATTCCGGAGTTCTCCCTGCCTTGGGGTGACGTCATCACATCCGGCTGCCACCATCTGCTGCTGCTGCAGTCGCCGCCGATGACTCACACAGAGCGGACGCCGCCAATTCTACTGGCCGTTTCGCTCCCCCTCATCGTGCACCACGGCGCCGTGCTTCAACCTCGCCGAGACTCATCAGCGCACCGCGGCGCCGGGCTTCAACCTCGCCGAGACTCATCAGTGCACCGCGGCGCCGGGCTTCTACCTCGCCGAGACTCATCAGTGCACCGCGGTGCCGGGCTTCTACCTCGCCGAGACTCATCGTGCACCGCGGCGCCGGGCTTCAACCTCGCCGAGATTCATCGTGCACCGCGGCGCCGGGCTTCAACCTCGCCGAGACTCGTCAGTGCACCGCGGCGCCGGGCTTCTACCTCGCCGAGACTCATGGTGCACCGCGGTGCCGGGCTTCTACCTCGCCGAGATTCATCGTGCACCACGGCGCCGGGCTTCAACCTCGCCGAGACTCATCGTGCACCGCGGCGCCGGGCTTCAACCTCGCCGAGACTCGTCAGTGCACCGCGGCGCCGGGCTTCAACCTCGCCGAGACTCATCGTGCACCACGGCGCCGGGCTTCAACCTCGCCGAGACTCATCAGTGCACCACGGCGCCGGGCTTCAACCTCGCCGAGACTCATCGTGCACCGCGGTGCCGGGCTTCAACCTCGCCGAGACTCATCGTGCACCGCGGCACCGGGCTTCAACCTCGCCGAGACTCATCGTGCACCGCGGTGCCGGGCTTCAACCTCGCCGAGACTCATCGTGCACCGCGGCCGCCTCCCACTGCCGCCCGTCGGTCGCGGTCGCTCAGGCGCGTCACGCGTCGACGCCGACCG